TAGTTTATTAGGAGCCAGCTGTGGCTGACCTTGGCCCAGGAACACAGGTTCAAGTTGGCTTAAATACTATGCTCCCCATGGCAGATGTTGCATGAATTTATACTCATAGAACAAAAGAAAATCATAAATACATTTACAGATCACATTGGTGGGAACAGACGTGATGGAATAGCATTGTTTGCTTTAGAGTTGGTGGGAGCAGAGGTCTGCCAAGCCTAGCCACACATTTCAAGAGTTTTATATAGTGGTCTTGAGGCTGTTAGGTCAGACACAGAGATTGATAACAAATGGTTATTGACAGGGATTGCCATAGCCCAAGATAACTTTTGTTTTTTGTTTTGAGATAGGGTCTCATTATGTAGTCCAGGCTAGCCTCAAGCTTGAGATCCTCCTGCCTCAGCCTCCCCAGTGCTGGGATTATACATGTGCAGCCCCATCCCCAGCTAGCTACCTTTGGCTCTTGATTTGCAACATTTCATCACTCCACAGCCATGATGTTCTATTCAGCCAAGGTCAGTCTGCAGGAGATTTAATATAGATGCACCTACTTCTGAGAACTTCACTTCACATCCCAATCCAAAGAAGAAACTTCCAGTCTACAAAGAGGGACTGGGGATTTAGCTCTGTGGTAGAGCATTTGCCTAGTATACACGAGGTCCTGGCTTTGATTCCTAAATACACACACTACACACATACACAATAGAGAATGGCAAGTGTATGGGTGGGATAAGGATGCTGGAGAAGTCACAGAAGCCCTGCAGCCCCCCAGTGAGGGCCTGCCACACAGAACGCAGTCCAGTCCAGGGCCTGAGCCGTCAGGTGCAGCTGGAGCCCAGTGTTAAGGAGCGCTGGCTGGAGATGGAGTTGAGGGCTGTACAGGGGCCAACTCCCTCCAGGGCCTTGGGAAAGAGGAAATAAAGACATCTGAAGGTGCAGAGGAGTGAGATTACAAGCTACCATGCAAGCACCCAGGTTAGAGATGAGGGGCCTGCAGTGGGCCCAGGCTGGGCAGCTGGAAGGGCAGAGAGGAAAGCACAGAGTAAAAGAAGGGTGAAGAGAGAAACAGATGATGTGGGGCCTAAGCCAGGGAGGCCAGGGAATAAGCAGGAACAAAGGAGAGGTAGATTTTTATCCTCCAATCCCACTTTACCCCACAGGGATTTTGTCTTTTTCTTCTTTGTCCTGCTCTGGCCAAGACAGTGGCAACTACATAGTTAATTGAATGATTAATTCATTTATTGAATGAATATGTGTTGAGCACGTATTATGTGTCAGGCTCTATTGTAAACAGTGAGTATGGCAAAAGTCTTTGGGCTCTTAGTGCTGCTAAATAAAAATTACAGACCCAGGTGCAGTGATACACTTCTGTAGTCCCACCTACTTGGTATACTGAGATGGGAGAATAACTTCAGCATAGGAATTCAAGGCTAACCTGAGCTACATATTAAGATCTTGCCTCAAAAGAATAAGTAGTTGATCATGGTGGCAGACACATTAATCTCAGCTACTCAGGAGGTAGATAGGAGGATGGAGGTCTGAGACTGGCTTGGGCAAAAGTTCAAGATACTACCTAAAAACAAACCAAAAAGCAAAAAGGACTAGGTGTAGCTCAAGAGATAGAGAGCAGGCCTTGAGTTCAATTCCCAGTATCAGATAGATAGATAGATTGACAGATGATAGATAATAGATGGATGGATGGATGATAGAGAGATAGAGAGATAGAAGATAGATAGATGATAGATGGATGGATGATAGAGAGATAGATAGATAGAAGATAGATGATAGATGATGGATGGCTGGATGATAGATAAATAGATAGATAGAAGATAGATATATAGATAGGTAGAAGATAAATAAAAATTATGGGTGTCCTTGGTTTGGACTAAGCTCCTACAATACGCCCCAACAGAACAGAGTAGGCTAAAATCAAAATAGAGTCATTCGTGCTAAGGCTCTAGGTCGTCCAGTTGAGATGGAGCTGTGTATCTCTCCTTCCAAGAGAGGTAACAGCTAGACTTCCCAAATGCGGCGAGTTCAGTTGCATGCCAATGAAGTTCCCTCTGACTCAATCCTTTCACATCAAAGGTAACTTGAATTAACCTGACATTAGCCAGCCAGTTATTTTCCAATTGTTCTTGTCTCCCTACTGTACAAGGAAAGAAACTTTGAAATAACCGATCTTCTTTTTGGTTTTTTTGTTTCTGCTCCTTTCAAGCCCTTTTCTATCTATACAATCTGCTCGTTTCAATAGGAATGTGAGTTCTAGTTTATGAACTGAGTGTTCTATTTTATAAAATGAAGTGTCGCCCAATTCTAGAAAGGAAAATAAAGTAAATTAAGATCTTTAAGGTAAGTAGTTGTACTTTTGTTCTTAGACAGAGCTTACACTATGAAGGAAGAGGCTGTGAGGTGATGGAAGAAGGGAAGAGAAAGCAGGGGGCTGTTTTTGATGTGGTGCTGGTCATCATAGTCTTCTCCTATAGATGACATCTGAGGCCAGAACTCCAAGGAGTTCTGGAGTGAGTGGTGAATCTCAGATGTGCATTTTTTTCCCATGCTGGGGATTGAACCCAGGGCTCCATACACGCTAAGCACCCATCACTAAACCACACCCTCAGCCCAGATGTACATATTTGAGGAAGAACTTTCTAGGCATAGGAAGCAGCAAGTTCAAAGGCTGCTTCAAAGATTGCTGAACAATCCACGTACAGCTTGTTGAGTGTTCCTAGATCATGCCTGGGTCTTTCTCATCAGACAAGAATGGTCAGAGGAATGGGGTGGGACCACTTCTTCCCTTTATGCTGTTCTTCTTCCCCCCAGGCCAGGCGCATAAGTAGAAGTGGGGCAGAGACAGAGCTGTTCAATCTGCCATGCAGGAGAAAAGGCAGAGAAAATCTAGGAAGAGGTTCTGAGCTGTCCTGGAGCCCTACCATTCACACCCATGTTTCTGGTTTTCATTAGTGGGGACCTCACCCTATCAACCCATCTGCACTTCTGTCTCTGCCATGGCCCCACCCACTCAAACTCCTGCCTCCTGGACATTCATCTGTGAGGGTCTTCCTCTGCTATGGGAGAGGGATCACACAACCGGAGTGGGAGTGTTGTGGGTCCTACACCCAAGCTAGGGTCTCAGGATCTTGGCAGAAAATCCAACCAGACTCCAGGCCTGTTTTCTATGCTTCTCAGGGACAAAAAAAAGTAATGGGAACTTGATAGTCACTTCCTCCTTATTTTTCATAAGCCATTCTGCTTCTCCAGCCTTCTTGCTGACAAGACATGTTATTCTAAATTCTACTGATTCAAGACTTTTCTATTCTGACTAGCAAAGAATAATAGGCAACCTCCCAAACGCGTCTGACCACACATGCACACGCAAGTACACACACACACACGCAAGTACACACACACACACAACACACACACACACACACACACACACACAGAGAATTCTTTCAGATATTCTCTCTGGGCACTGGCCTCCAGTCAGGTGAGAGATTGCAACCCAGAGATTGCTTTCAGAGAGCATTCTAGGGCTCCCTGAAGGGACCCTCAACACCTTTCTTCTCCTGTTGAGTCCCTCCTCTGGAGACCTTCTCCTTTGACTGGGAAGAAGGCCAGTGGGGCCAGGGAGAAAAGACCCAGGGCAGAGAAAGGCTGAGCTGGGTGAGCCTGGCCGGTTGCCTTTCACCTTAGTTGGGTGGTTCTCAAAGCCTGGCCTCCAGACCAGCAGCATTAATGTCACGCAGGCCCTGCCCCAGGGCCACTGAGCAAGAAACTCTGGAGGGCCCAGCAGTCTGATTGAACAAGTGGCGGTGCTACTGCAGAGTTGTGAGGAGAGCTGGGTCCTGGTTTGGGCAGGCTCAGCAAGACTCTCCTGTACTGGCTTCCACCATCCATTTGTCCAGCCCTACGACGGACTCCAGGATTTTCCAAGGTCTCTGGCAGTAATGGAAGCAGATGAACACCCATGAAGCAGATGTATACACTACCGTGGTCTTTTTTCCCATGGCTCTGGTGGTGGTGGTGTGGGAGGCACCAGATGGTTTAATTTACTGCATTTACCCTTGGACCCTCCCCAGTCTCCAGCCTTTTTGGAGCAAGAATGTTTTGGCTTACTTGCCCTTTCCCGACACCCTGCTGTAGACCGAACCCAGGACCTTATGTTATACTAGGGAAGTATAGCAGCCCAAGTCGTGTTTTTGGTTTTGTTTTTTGGTGGGACTGGGGTTTGAACTCAGGGCTCACACTTGCAAAGCACCCGCTCTACTGCCTGAGCCACACCTCCAGTCCATTTTGCTCTGGTTATTTTGGAGATGGGGTTCTAGAGAACTATTTGCCCGAGCTGGTGTCTAACAGCCATCCTCCAGATCTCAGCCTCCCAAGTAGCTAGGATTACAGGCATGAGCCACCGGCGCCCATCTCCAGATGTGCGTTTTTGATGGCCTCTAAGATCAAGAGAGCGGGTTGTTCCGTTCCCCTTAGGGGTAGAGAAAGCTGGCGCTGGCAGGATTACCCCGGCAGGTTCCACTCCACTCACACGTACAAGGGCCTTCAAGAGCCCAGCCTATCGGACACATTATCTCACGTATTAACCGAGGCTCCGCGACGTTAACTGAGCAGCCCAAGGTCACACAGCGGGCGGTGGAGGCAGGAGCCGCCCAAGCCTCCTCTGTCTGGCCCTACAGCCTTCCCCAGTCGCTCGACTGGTTCGGTTTGGGTGACATCGAGTCCTGGAAGCCTTCTGCAGCTGTCCCGGCCCTCGAGGAACCCTCGCCCCAGGCGCAGAAAGCCCGCCGGGTCCTCCTTCCTGGGACCCGGGTCGCTCCCGCCACCCCCGCGGACTCAGCGTCCCCAGAGCGTCCCCCGGGTCACCGCTCGGCGGCGAAGCCCCCGCCCCCTGCCGCCGCCCCGCCCCCGGGAAAGGTCGGGGCGGGCGGCCGTGGCCAGCGCAGCTGCGGGAGGGAGCAGGCCAGGCGACAGCGCGGCCGCCCCGGCTCAGCATGACGGCCATCGCTGTGCAGGTAGCCCGAGGGCGCGGCGGGACACGGGAGACCAGTGCCAGGAAGGCACGTGGGGGAGGGACAGGGACTCAGCCAAGGACCAGGGTGCCAGCGCCCGCGCCCCGCGCCCAGGGCGCCCAGTCCCTGTGCAGCCCCCCGGGTCCCCGAGAGGTTGCGCGGGAAGCAAGCTGGGGCGCCCGCCCCCAGCGCTGCTCTTGCGGAGCGGTGTCCCCGGGCCTCTGGTCGAAGCCCCCAACCTCCCCCCGGGAGGTCTTCTGTGCTTCTCTGCGGGATCGCCAGCGACCTGTCGCTTAGGACTGCCAGAGGTGTCCCACCTTTTTAAAAAGTGAGGTGTCTGGGGTAGAGGATAGACAGGACTTGCAAAACGAGGCTCCCCTTACGTAACAGGGGATGCGTCGATAGGGAAGCTAGGGCTTTCTGGGGCGGGGTATAAAAGGCCATCTCCCCTAAACCGCGTTTGGGGTGCAGGGCGGGGAGTGGACTCTAGGGACCCAGCACCTCATAGGAAAGGGTTCAGCCCGAGGGAGACTGCTTCCCCTGGGCGGGGGTTGCCTTGTTCTTGGAGTGGTGTAGGATGCTTATGTTGGGGAAGACCCTACACATTCCTACGCTTGGAAGGGGCGTCCTGGCGCCGGGCCGCGTCCCTCTACCCTGTCTGCCAGCTGCCTTTCGGCTTAGGCACCCCAGAGGCTCGCTGCTCCAGGCTGTCTGTCCACTGTCTGTCCCGCCCTGTCCTGATGATTACAGAAAGGCCTGTTGAGTTTTACCTTCAAGTGCTCAGGCCTCACAACACTGCTAATGTTAAAAAACACTGTCCCACTATTATTATCATTGTTGTTGTTACCGTCGTCATTATTATTAGAGATAGGATCTTGTTATGTTGCCCTAGCTTGGTCTCCAACTCCTGGGCTCAAGGGATTAAATCCAGGACTTTCTGCCTCCAAGTCCCACCTGCCCCTTTTATTTTTCCCTTAAAAAAAGAGAGAGAGGCCACCCACAGACCATCCCCCAACAAGGACCCAACAGTTGGTGTGGAACACTAGGCAATGAATTCTTCCTCTTTGTTCTGGGGCAGAACCTGAATTTTCTCCAGAGAGGGACCCTGGGAGGAAGGGGACTGGCCACCAGGAGCTTGGTCTCCCTTCAAGGACTTTACTCCCTGCTGAGAAGAGGGATCTGTAAACAAGGAGTCACTATGGAAGTGAGTGCAAAATTAAGAAGTGCAAAAGTCAAGAGGGATCCCTTCAGCATAGGAGGAAGAGGAGGGCTCTGTGACAAGCTCAAGATGGGGGAGGAGAGGGACTTTTAGGGAGGAGAGAGGTACTTACTTGTCCCTGGCAATTACAGGCACTTAGCCAATAACTATACTCTTACAACACCTTATGAGGAAGGTACTGTTATCACCACTTCTTCCTTTTTTTTTTTTTTTTTGGTGAAGGTACTGCGATTTGAACTCAGGGCCTTATGCTTGGTAGGCAGGCGCTCTACTGCTTGATTCACTCTGCCAGATCTTTTTTGTGTTAGGTGTTTTCAAGATAGGGTCTCGCAAACTGTTTGCCCAGGCTGGTTTCAAACCTTGATCCTTGTGATCTCTGCCTCCTGAGTAGCTAGGATTGCAGGCGTGAGCCACCAGTGCTCCTGTGTGAGGAAGGCGGGGAGGGGGAGTAATTAACAGGTAAAAAGTAAGGCTAGGTCACAAAGGCAGGGGTTGGCCAGGGTGGGGCTGAAAGAAGCAGGTGGCCGGCTGATTCCTTAGCAGAATGTCAGCGCTGGAGACAGGCCTGGACAAAATGGGTGTTGAAGAGCAGCAAATATCAAGCCATGTTGGGGAGTTGGAGGTGTGAGTAGAAGCTCAAGGTGTTTAGTTGAGGGTGCTGTTGGTTGCAAGGCGCAGGTGAGGACCTAGGCTACAGGGCAGGACAAGACCATGACATTGAACTCAGGTAGACCAATACTATTGAGGAATCCTAGTTTCACAGTTTACCACTAGGACTCATTCAAGGTCACAGATGAAAAAGGGAATCATGCTAAGCAGCATTTTTTAGGGGAGGAAGTCAAGGTTCTGAGATTTAAGTGATTGCCCGAAGGCACAGAGTTTGGCTGGCAGGGCAGGGGCAGACTCGCTGCACTCCTCCTCTCTGTCCTGCCCTTCCTTCCACAGAACTGCTGCTGCCCAGCTGCCCCCCTCCCAGAGGATTTCAGAATCTGATCACTGAAAGCTGGTGGAGGGGCCAGCATGGGGGTGAGGTGCCTGGTGTTTTGGAATGAAGATGCCAATATGAATTATTGTTACATCAATCCCTCCCAAGATCTGAGAGCTGCCCGTTTGCTTGCATGGACTCATTTAATTCCTGGGGTTTTCTTGGCCATCAGAGAGTTTAAAGGAAGCCCTGGTTTGGGACAGGAGGGAGGATAGGTAACATGAGATCATCTGTCTTTTCTTTCTGATTCCAGTGTGATGTCTTAGGGCCTGCAGATTAAAGTCCAGTCCGGGCCCAGGACAGGCGGGGCTAAGGAAGGCACAGGACGTGCCTGTTTGCCAGACAATGCTATGTCTAGGGTCAAAAGGTTTCTGAGTCCTGTAGTCTTGTGACTTGTTCTCTGCATCCGGGCTTCCCACCTTCTGACCATTATCAATCTCTAGCCATTTCTTTGCCACACTTACAGGTGTCACCAACTAGAAAACAGGATAGAGAGGTTGTACTGTAGCCAGAGAAGCACCATTTTCAGCTTCCTTTGGTTTGTTTCTTACCTGTAGATTCTCTTTCTTCCTAATAAAATGCAATGCAGACTCCTAGGCCCCCAGTGTCTCAAGCTGGTAACAGATCTGCTGCAACTTGAAGTGGGGTGGAGCTCTAGAGGTGGCCTGATAAGCTTTCTGTCACCCTACTGAGTGCCCAGAAGCCCCCTGGAAACCAGGGACACAGTTTGAGAACCACAGCCCATATGAGCACCTTGGTGTTCTTGGTAGCCTGCCAGTGGAGGTGCAGGTCCTGGTTCCAGCCCTTTGGGCATTCCTCTGAGCTCATATCTTTTCCTCACCAGTAACACTGAGCCCCAGCACAAAGGTCTTGTTTAGACGCCCTCCCCTTCCCCCCTACCGCCCCTCTATATTTCCTTGCTGAATGGAACCCACCTCCTGCAATCGGTACCATTGTCTGGGTTGCTGTAATAAGCTTTACATGACTTGGGTGAGTGATCTTCACAGGTTTAAGAAGAAAGTGAGCGCTGGCGGAGTGGCTCAGGTGGTAAAGTGCCTCCCTAGGAAGCGTGAGGCCCTGAGTTCAAACCCCAGTGCTGCCAAAGTAAAAATAAAAACAAAACACCAAAAGCAAGAAGAAAGTGAGATGCTACTTAGGAAGCCATACTAAGAGCGAAGTGATTTCTTGTTCCTGTGTCCTCAGGTTGAAATGAGAGGTACCTTGAGTGTCTGAGCTATGTCAGCAGACAGCCTTATGAGGGCTCTGCCCAGAGTCTCCTAGGAACAAGGCTTTGCATCTGGAAGCTTCTTTAGCACATGTGCACCCTGTGGTCCTCTTCTTCCTTCCCCTGGTTTCCTAGCAGTGACTGTCCTATGAGGGCTATCTGTTTTGCTTACCTCCCAAATTGGGGGTGTGACCTGCTTCTATACACACTGTAAAGGGGATGATTTAATTTATGACTGGGCAGGGGACTTAGTTTATAGGGAGCTTCATATGGAAGTGATAGGTTGTAAATTGACCCTACACTGATCCCATGGCTCTTCCTCAAGTAACCTAACAGGTCTAACACGGCCATATACTGGGAACACAGTGGTGTCTTGACATGGAGGGCTTGCCTTCCTGGAAGACAGTGTCCAACTGTGGCAGCCATCCATGTAACTCCAAATTGTAGACAGAATGATGCAGAAAGCCAAACAAGGTACCTAGTGTAGAATACCAGGAGAGGACCAGCTTGGATTGGGTAAGTGGGAAAGACCTCTCCGAGGAGGTGGGTGACTTTAAACAAATCTAAAGAATGGAGAAAAAGAGGGCCAGGTGTGGTGGCACATGCCTAGAATCCCAGCTATTCAGGAGGTGGAGATAGGAGGGTTGATCACGGCCCAAAAATACAAGACCCTATTTGAAAAACTAAAATGCAGAAGGACTGAGGGCATGGTTCAAGTGGTAGAACACTTGTCTAGTAACCCTGAGGCCCTGAGGTCAATCCCTAGTACTGCCAAAAAAAAAAAAAAAGGGGCAGGGGAGCTACAGAAGGAGGCCAGGAAGTCTGAGGAAGAAAGTTCTGGGCCCAGAACTATATAGGGCACGGTGGCAAGGAAGAGAATAAAAAATGAGGGTGGAGGAGGAGATGGGTAGGTCTTGCAGGGTCTGTGGGCCAGTGGTAAGGTACTTCCCTTTTTGTGGTAGTTCTTCCTTTTGCTTTGTTGACAGTGATGCCTGGGTGGTGTCTCAGGGTAGAAAGAGAACCTCAACGGACACCGAACTTGCTTGCTGGAAGGCTGGGTCAGGGAGTGGGGAAGAACACCTTTCCCATACAAGGACCAGAGGACTGTAGTGGCTTCCGCAGGCCTAGGAGCTGCTGGGAAGTGACACTTGCTCTGGGTGGGGTACAGGCAGAGCAAGGCTGAAGGGCAAGGTACAAACATCACTGTCAGGACTCAGAAAAACAAGATAATAACATGGAGTCTATTTCTATACCAAATATAGAAAGTGCAGTCCCAAGTGAGTAGGGTTTGGATGTGCTCTGGGGGGGGAAGCAGACTTACAGACAGACACGCTCATGTCTCATATATGCTGGATATAGTCCTGTACATGTACCAGGTGGTATCATTTTGTGTACAAAGACACTAAGGCAGGCTTCATGCTCAAGCTCACATGAACCAGGAAATGCAGGTTTTCTGAATTCAGAACTGAGTGGGATTTGCCGGTCCATTTGGGCTTTTGCCCATTGTAGAGATCATGAAATGAAGAATGATAAGGGAATAATTAGTGCTGAGTAAACACTGGATGGTCTGTTGCTTACAGGGCTAGAATGGAGGTCAGAAGACAGGTAGAAAGGAAGGGCCCCACTGAAGGAGGGTCTGCTGTGGAAACTAAGTCAAAGTTCCAGGCCTCCTGTGAGATGTGAGCAAAAGATGGGGGAGGTATGTTTGAGGTCTTTCCTGGAGAGGATGTGACACCAGCCCTCACTGACTCACTGTGACCTGTGGTGTCTTCCAGGCCCAAAGGCTACTGGGCCCCAAGAGGCCCCACCGCTCCTTCTTTGAATCCTTCATCCGGACCCTCATCATCGTGTGTGCTGCCCTGGCTGTGGTCCTGTGCTCAGTCTCCATCTGCGATGGGCACTGGCTCCTGAATGATGACCGTCTCTTTGGGCTTTGGCACTTCTGCACCATCACCAATCAAAGTGAGCCACATTGCCTCAGAGACCTGAGTCAGGCCCGCATCCCTGGGCTGGCGGTGGGCATAGGCCTGGCCCGCAGCATGGCTGTCATGGCTGTAGTGTCCGCCATCTTTGGCCTGGAGCTTCTCATGGTGTCCCAAGTGTGTGAAGACATTCGCTCACGTCGAAAGTGGGCCATCGGTTCCTTCCTCCTCCTGGTTGCCTTCATCCTCACTTCTGGGGGGCTTCTGAGCTTTGTGATCCTCCTCAGGAATCAGGTCACACTCACTGGCTTCACCCTGATGTTCTGGTGCGAGTTCACGGCCTCTTTCCTCTTCTTCCTCAATGCCATTAGTGGCTTTCACATCAACAGCCTCACCCAACCCTGGGACCAACAGATGAAATTCTAGGGCCCCCTCCAGGAACCTTGACTTCTACAAGAAATTGTAGTTAAGATGGGACTTCTCCAACATGTGACTTCTGGCGAGGACAGGGTGGGACAATAACCTTGAAGCTGCCTCTTAGCCCCTAGGCTCTGGGTGGTCAGCTAGAAATAGCCTGGGGACCTCTGCATCTATCTGTAGGGCCAGAGGCCAGGAAAGTGTCTCAGTGCCACCAGCTGCACAGGCTTAGCAAAGTTATTAGAATGTTGATTCTAAAAGAAGAAAATATTTTAAAAGTCTTTTCTTGAGTTTTTTCCCTGGATGGGCTTGATTTGGAAGCAACCCTGGTAACCGGGGCCTGGGCTAGCTGCCTGCCTGGTTCATGGACTCTGTGCTGGGATGTGAGCTGGAGGGACCCTGGGGCTCCGGGGTTGCTAAGAATGGATCCTCTCTCCAGCTAAGGAACCTGTGAGTGCCTAGGACTTCCACCAGCTCAAGAGGCCATCAGCACATTTCCCTCACTTAGCAGAATTCCTCAGAATGTCTTGCACATAGGTTTCAAACCATTGGTTCAAGTTCTCCTGTGCCCTTTGTGAGGCCCTCAGAAACCCCAGCTAACCCCAGTTTCTACCAGCTGTTGTTCCTCTCTAGGCCCTCAGTGTGGTCAGATCCTTCCTTGAGTGACTGATCCCAGGAGGCTCAGTTGATTTCTGACAGTCCTTCAGAGGCCAGTGTGCATGGGTGTGAGCCCTTGACAGACTATTCTTTGTAAGGGCCAAATGGCCTTAGGGTACCATTTTTGAACCTAGAATGTATTACAAAGAGCACATTTAGGACCTGCAGGACTCCGCAGGGGGTGAGGGAGCTGCCAGACTTTGGACAATGATTAACAACGTCCTGGGGATGAGTGGAGCTGAAGGCAGTCAAAAACTGGTGGAGATTTCCATCTTTGCCTGCATGTCTGCATTTTTGTTCACCATTGTTGCCCCTTTTCTGCTCAGAAATAGGTGAAGGTTTTGGTGTCTGCCCTGCTTTTGTCACTCTAGGCCCCTTCCTGGGCTGGGTGTCTATACCTATCTGACTCTGGTGATTTTTTTCTTGAGTCAGGGTCTTGTTATGTTGTGCAGGCTGGTCTCCACCCCTATAAGAACCTGAAATTATAGATGTGTGCCACCACACCCAACCCTCTCATGGTGATTAAAAAAATCTTTATTACAAGATGCACAGAGTCAAAAGGGTGAGGATGCTAAGCTTGAACCATTATGAATTGAATGCAAGGAGTCCATGTGGCTCACCTGAGAGATTTTCTCTCTCTCCCTCTCCCTCTCTCTCTCTCTCTCTCTCTCTCTCTCTCTCTCTCTCTCTCTCTCTCTCTTCCCAGCCTGCATGCTGGGAAGCAGTCTACTACTGAGTCCCTCCTGAGAGGCTGTGTGGACTGCTTGAGGGAGACAGGTCCTTGTCCTTTCCCTGCCTGGGAGCACGTTCATTTACAGTAAAGGGCTGTGTGACTAACCCACATCCTAGCTGGGCCTGTCACAGGACCTTAGCAAAGCTGTTTCTCATCTACAAAACAGTGCTGTGCTTCCTGCTATACCCCACCCTCTTATGCCTCACACCATGCCAGAGCTACTAAAAGGGTCTCAGGGTCCCCTGTGACTTTATCAGAGTAATCTAGCTGTGATCTTGAAGACTATGGTGAGAGCTACTGAACAGGTGAATGCAACAGGGACAGGCAGTCTTAATTTCTTGTGTTTTCTGAGCTTTTAGACTTGTCCCTGACCATGAGCTGGGCCCCCTCCTCCTGCAGGAAAGGGTCAGGAAATAAGCTAGAGCATCCTCCCTCCTTGCATTGGAGGGTAAAAAGATGGACAAATACAGACCAAATCTTTTCCCAGGCATCATTTATTCCCTGGCCCCTCTGGGATCTCTGAATTGCCCTTCCCAGAAGAGCACAACAGACCAGCTCTCAGCCCCAAGTCTTGCCCCATAATATACCAAGTCCCTTCTGTTCAGTACCAAGGAGTCCCAGGCCTGGGGGAAGGGCATGTTCAGCCTCAGGAGGGCACATTCTTGTAGCAATGTCCAACCCTCTCAGCACCTGGCTTGACCTCTGTCCCTAGGCAGCCTCAGATGACACTGGTCCTGAAGGTGGCCCTGCTCTGTTCAGAAGGACTGGCCTTGGTGCTTTGTACGGGGCCACTGGTGCCATTGCTGAAAGAAGAGCTGAGGGCCACAGGACGAAGTGGGAGCTCTTGAAGGTGCCACTGCCGCCACTTCTTCTGAACTTCCAGCTGCACCTGTGTGAGACCAGCCACAGGCTACAGCATCAGCCAGGAGGGAGATGCAGCCCCGAGCCTGGAACCTGTCACTCCCTCTGGGCTCCACACAGGGCCTGCAGCTCCTGCCCAGCAGGTCCTGCTATCACCTTTTCTGCAGGCCACTCCAAATGACCATTTCAAGCCCGTGTCCAACAAGTACAAGGGCCCCTGTACCCTGGATGCTTGAACCTGCCATCTCACTACACGGTATCCCAAAGAAAGGACTTGGGGTTTGTCTCCCAAACTGCAGAACTCAAACAGACATATTATCAGCTGAGCCACAAGCATACTCATTCCCATGAAGCCACCACCCTGCCTCAGAATGGACACGGGAGCTGCGGAGTTGCCTGTGGACATTTCCTTCACAGTCCCTAAATGGGGCAGCCAAACCTTTCAGGCCAAGCTTGCTGCTTGATTTTTGGAAAACATCAAATATCATTCCCACTTAGGTGCAGTGGCTGGACTGGAGGTGTGGCCCAAGTGGTAGAGCATCTGCTTTTCAAGCATGAAGCCCTGAGTTCAAACCCCAGTCCCACCAAAAAAAATTTTTTTTAAGTGCGGTAGCCCAAATAGGTGGTCAACAGCTACAGGAAGGCTTCCCTGGCATGCAATAAATACTGTGTTCAGCCAGTGTTAATGGCTTGGCTTCTGTGTGCCTGGAGCCTTGTGTCCTGACCCAAAGGCTCTGAGCAAGGGCACACCTCCCCTCCCCCCACAGGAGACCTTGGAAGATTGAGCTGCAGACACTATTTCTGAGTCACGCATTTCACCTATGGTAAGACTGAGGCCCAGGGAGGAGAAGTGACCAAGGTCACCCATGGAGCAAACAGCAGAGTCATTAGGAATGTGAGCTGTGTTTGGGGCCTGGGCTCTTTTCCCGTTTCTTCTGAACTTGCCCGTGGATAATAAGTACCCAGAGTGCTTATTAAAGAACATGTTATGCTGGGCATGGAGGTGCACAACTATGATCTCAGTAACTTGGGAGGCAGAGGTAGGAGAATCTTGGTCCCAGGTTGGCCCTGGGCAAAAGTCCGAGACCCTATTTGAAAAATAAAGTAAAGCAAAAAAGGCTGAGGGTGTGGCTCAAGTGGTAAAGCATAAGCCAGAGGTCCTGAGTTCAAGCCCCAGTACTGGAAAACAAAACTTTCTCAGGCCCAGCCATATCCCAGACCTACAGAATCTATGTTTCAGCAAACATGTTTCAGGACAGGGTGGGGCAGTGCCTGGTGCATGCCACCAAATGACTCTGCTGTTCCTGTTGAGGTCAGACTGCTGGAAGACTGACTTGTCAAGCCCTTTGTTATGAGGCCCAGTCTCTTTATACCCTCCCCACCCACCATTCTCTCAGGGAGCTCTTGCACTAGGACCCAGTGGCACCCCAGGACACTCATCTGGTCACCCCAAGACACTCACCTCACCATTGAGGAAGCAGTAGAGGACAGCCACCACCAGCCCCTGCCAGAGGGAGCGGGAGTTAGTACACATGCTGGGCATCCCAGCTCTCTTGTGCATCACACCAAGGAGATGTGAGCTGAGCCTGGGCGCCTTCATCTGCCTACTCCTGCCCAAGTCCTCCAATCACCACTCTAGGCTTGGGTCGCACTACTCTGGCACGTCTTTTGGCCCCACAGTGCTCTGACTGTCCAGTAGCGACTGGGGGTTCCTTTCATCTGTTGTCCCTGGTGTCTAGCATAAGGGCCTCCAACACGTGGTGTCACTGGTAGTGAGGTAGGTGCTGCTGACTTGGGTCTGGCAGACAGAGAGACCAGGCAGGTCACTTGAATCAGTAAGATGAGCCATCTGGGAGCAGTAGGCGTTGGTGGCCCCTGAAGAATGTCCCCACCCCACTGTGAAGGGCAGGGTCAGCCCAGTGGGAGTCTCATTTTCAAGACAAGCATGGACAACTCCTTTGCACTGAAGAACAAATTTGTGGCCAGAACAAACTGTGTCTAGGTCCAGACCTAGACTGTGGACAGGTGAGAGCAGTTCCATGGTCATGGCCCCATGTTCCCTGGCTTGTGAGATCTATGCTTGCTGGACCTTACTGCCCTGCTATTTTCTTTTCTTTTGTGGTACTGGGGTTTGAACTCAGGGTCTACACCTTGAGCCATTCCACCAGCCTTTTTTTTGCGTGTGTGATGGGTGTTTTTGAGATAGGGTCTTGCAAACTATTTGCCTGGGCTGGCTTCAAACCATGATCCTCCTGATCTCTGCCTCCTGAGTAGCTAGGATTATCAATGTGAGTCACCGGCACCCAGCTTACCCTGCTATTTTCTTGATGGTGTCTCCAGGACCTTGGCTTGGAGCTCTGCCAGAGTAGCAACTCTGGTCTGGATGCCCAAGTCCAGCCAAAGACACCTGCAGAGCCATGAGCAGCAAGGCACATCCTACTCTCCTCCTCTCAGGACCCACCTCAGCCAGCCTGCCTTCTTTCCAGGCCTGACACAGGCTTCCCAGTGGCAATCACCCTTCCCTCATAGAGGCTGGCGTTGCAGCTCTAACGTTGGGTGGCCTGGTTCTTCTTCCCTGGTCCATCCAGCTCTGCCCTTAGCTACTTATCACATGAGAAAGGACCCCAGGGCAATGAACCAGCCCTGTGTGGTGGGTTAATATGTACGACTACTCAGGGATATTGACTTTTTTTGGAGCTGGGGGTGGAAACCAGGGCCTCATGCATGCTAAGCAGGAGCTCTCCCACTGAGCTGGAGATACTGGCATCTTAATAAGTTAGTAGCAAAACTAGAAGAATTTGCTTTAGAATTTCAGGCATCAGGGACACTGCACAAAATGTCAGCAATGCTTACTCAGGGCTGTGCTTTCCAAATTTTGCTGCATATTAGAATCACCTGGGAGTTTTTGTCTTGCTCTCTATACCCAAAATCTGAAGGCCTGGTACCAGGGGCATCAGCAGCTTTTAAAGCTGCACTTGGAACCACTGGTAGAGAGAAGGAGTGAAGGGCACTTAAATATAGGCTTTGAAGTGACTCAGAACTAGGTTTGTAGCACAGCTTGTCCTGAGCTGATTGAGGGATTCTGAGTTTCTAGGGTTCCTAGTGCTTCATTCAATCCTCACCAAAGAGATGGGTGTTGTGGATACACCTATAATCCCAGCACTCAGGTGGCTAAGGCAGGAGGATGGAGAGTTCCAGGCCTGGGTACATAGTGAGTTCCAAACCAGCCTGGGCTACATAGTGAGGCTGTGTCTACAAAAAAAAAAAAAAAAAGAAGGAAAGAAGGGAGAAAGAGAGAGAGAGGAAAGAAAGAGAAAAAGAAAGAAAAGAAAAGAAAGAAAAAGTTCCCACTAAAGCCCTTGCTGGGAGGTAGGACCACTTTACAAGTAAGGGACCTGAGTCACAGAGGGTTTCCCGAAGGACTAGAGTTGTGTACGTTTGGCCTAGACCTGGTGGTCAGGGTGAGGCTGCTATCTGTCTCATGGACTCAGAGTCACCTGGACCTCAGCTATCCTGTGTCCTAGAATTCAGGGACACATTTTTATTGTTCAGGGGATGGCAGGAGCCCCAAGCTAGCTGTGCCAATGCCAGGCCTCACACAAGCTATCAAGTTTAGTAAAGTCCACGGTCACTAGTGGTGACTAAAAATGAAGACTTCGCATAACTGTAACGACATGAAGAAAGGTTCACGATGGGCATGACAGAGGGAACAGCAGGATAAAAAACCAAGCACATTGTGTGTGTGTGTGCGCGTGTGTGTGTCTTCCAGGATAGAAGTTAGTTTTAGGTTAGAGATTATATATGATTTTGGTTTTTTACTGCTCAGGATCAAACCCAGGGCCTTGTTCATACTGGACAAGCACCTTACCACTGAGCTACACACTCAGTTCTTTTTCTTTTTTACTTTTCCTCATTTTCCAAATTATCTATAATAAGCAAATATTACTAATGCAATCAGAAGAATTAATGCAATATTACTAATGCAATCAGAAAGAATTAATGTAATACTACTAATGTAATCAGAAAGAATTAATGCACTTTAGTCTCTAAAAACACATGACAATGATAATGGCATTGTGGTTGTGTGTTCTTCAAGCCCTTGTTTTTTGATTTTTTAAAACAAGGTCTCACTATAGTGCCCAGGTTGGTAGTACTGTTGTCTTCTTCCCTTCTGTACATGGAAGAAAATTTCATCTGGGTTTATATATAACTTACATATGTGTATATATACATAAGAACGTGCATGTACTACACATCAGATATAAAATTTTTAATGATTTTTTTTTCCATAAGCACTTCTATAGGCATACTGGGAAAGTACTCTGGGTTTTTTTTTGGCAGTACTGGGGTTTGAACTCAGGGCCTCACACTTACTAGGCAAGTGCTCTACCACTTGAGCCACTCAATGGCTTTTTTTCAAGATAGGGTCTCATGAACTATTTGCCCAGGTTGGCTTTGAACCACAATCCTCCTGATTTCTGCCTCTGAGTAGCTGGGATTACAAGTGTGAGTCACCAGCACCTGGCCTTGGTTTTCTCTAAACATTTTCCCAGGGAGCAGCCAAGTGGCCTTTGCTTGAATAGTCCAAAGTCCTAACCACAACCCCCAACTCTGGGGACAGGAAGTCCCTGTCCATGTGGCAAGGCAGCTCTGCATCTGCAAGCTCTCCACATGGTCACTGCCCATTTTTATGAGCCAGGTCAAGTCCTTCCACTGGCCTAGACCTCAAGTTCCCCAGCTGCTGGAAGGGCTGTAGTCAGCCCAGCCTTCCTGGAAATTACAAGAGCCAAGAGGAAAAGAACAGTGGGCAATGTAGGCAGGAGTCCCTACGGAGGCCAAGGCCTCCCTGATGAAGGCTTTGCTGGACAATATTGCTCCTTGTGGGCTGGGGGAGATGGCTACTCAGGAAGTAGAGAACATGAGGATAACAGTTTGAGGCCAGTCCAGGGAAAAACTTAATGAGACTCCATCTAACAAATGAGCTGGTTGTGGTGGTATGTGCCTGTGATTCCAGCTGTGCAGGAGGCATAGGTAGGAGGATTGTGGTCCAAGGCCAGCACCAAGCAAAAACATGAGACATCTGAAAAATAACTCCAGCAGAAAAAGGCTGGGGATGTGGCTCAGGTGGTAGAGTGTCAAGCATGAGTTCAAACCCCAGTATCTCTAAGAAAAAAAAAAAGTTTGGTTGTGAGAATATTGTAGGAAACCCACTGGGAGAAATTTCTCACAAGTTCTACAGCCTATAATCACTGGGCTTCTCGGGGCAACTGGCATGTTCCTTTTCTCCCAAATGCTGGGACTTGAACCCAGGGCTTTGTGCATGTGGGGACATCCCCAGCCCACTTGCTTTTGTTTTATGAGTACCATACATCTTGAAACAAATTGTGCCTGTTTGTTTTGAATACTGGGAAGCTTCGATCCAATTTAAGTTGACCCACCTCAACTGCCTTTGTAGGACTTTATCAAATTTGTTCTGTATAGGAACTCAACTGGCTTTTTCTTCTTTTTTCACTGATCCTTCATCTATATAATCTTTTGTCTTCTGTATTTTCTTCCTGAAAGTGATGCCATATTATTTTGTTGAAGGAAATAGCTATGAGCAAATAAGCCCTGCAAGGTTTGGGATTCATATTAAGTTGCCCTACTATTGCTAGGTGCAGTTGATTCACGCCTGTCATCCCAGCTACTCAGGAGGCAGAGATCAGGAGGATTGCAGTTCGTAGCCACTCTGGGCAAATAGTTCACGAGACCCTGTCTCGAAAAAACCCTTCACAAAAAGTGCTGGTGGAGTGGCTCAAGGTGTAGGCCCTGAGCTCAAACCCAGTACAATAAATAAATAAATAAATACACAAAAAACAGGATTGGCAGAGTAGCTCAAGTGGTAGAGTGCCTTCCTAGCAAGTGTGAGGCCCTGAGTTCAAACCCCAGTGCTGCAAAAAAAGAAAGACTCCCTCCTATTCAAATATGTTTTCCCTACTTTTTTTTTTTAAGTGTTGTCTTAACCTCACATCTTGGGGGAATTAATAGGAGGCAATTTTCCACCTCTTTTTTCTTTGGATGACAGTTTATATTAGTAATTAATTGCACATGGTTTTAAGAAGTAAAATAATTGTGGTTAAAAACCCCAGCAGCCTCCTGACACCCACCCCGGTTTCCTGTACCTTGGGCCCCTTCTCTTAACTGATTCTAAACAAAGCTGCTGCTGCTGCTGCTTGGGGAGCCTGCAGCTTTGGGCCTTTTCTCTGGGCTTCTGGTCTGACTGACTAGGGTATTGGCTTTCCAGTGCCCTCCCACAGGCTCATCTTCCCAAGCTTTCCATGCTGCTTATCTTCCATAACTGTGTGCTACAGAGTTGTGCAACCTGGCGTATTGGGTGACTTCCCCTGAAGTCAGTCTCTCAGGCTTCTTCATTTCATCTCCCACCCCCATTTGACTGGTGGAGATTGTAGGTCCCGCTCAGGGTCCCATTGCACTGGCAGATCCTAGCTTTGTGTCCCTTGGGTCTGCTGAAAGACCCATCCCCTTCCCAAGCCCTCACTGAACTTCAGGAAGCTCTCCCTGGCTTGCTGTCTCTACAGCCTCATTTCTCTCTAAGGGAACAGAAAACTCTGTCCAAGTCACAGTCCCCCAAGCTTACCTGGAAGGAGCCCAGGGCCAATTCAAAGAACAGCTGGACTTCCATAGCATCTTCAGGGGAGAAGGCGAAGACGATGTAGTGGATGCCGAAGAGGGGGATCAACAGGAGTGTGGACTTGGTCAAGCGTCTGGGGACACAGGGACACACTGCCACTCCTGCATTGCTCAACTAAATAAAGTCTGGTTGCCTCAGGCTTGGCTCAGGTGTTTGTTTTTGTTTTCAGTTTTATGTTTGCCTCTGCTGTTTTGTTTTTTGTTTTCAGTGCGGGAGTTAAGTCCAGGGCTAGACAAGCACTCTGCCACTGAGTTACATCCATCATTCAGACACAACACTCATCAACTTATGACCAACCCCAAAGTTTCTGACTGCCATCTCCACCAGTAAGTGCATATAAATAAACACCCAGGCAAATAACTGTGTCATAAACTAGATACCTGTTTCATGTCACCTGTGTTAACAAATGATGAGCAAAGCCAGCTTTCTTATTTGTTAGATAATGATTATGACTATAAGGAGAGGCGATGCTCTTACATTTTCTTCCCGGATTAGGGTACCCAATTTTAGTATATAAAAAATATAGTATGTGCAGTTAAATCTGAATTTCAGATGCATGTTAGATCATTACTTTGTGACTAGGTCCTTTAAAAGCTGTTTGTTTTTTAAAATCTGGTATTTTATCTGGCAACTTTATCCTGGCCCCCTGGCTCCTGAAATGTGAAGGAGAGTCTGACACAGGCAAAGGAGCGCCTGCTGACAAAGTCTCAGAACTTAGGATGTCACGGAGAAAGAGTATGCTGGACACTATTTTGTCTTTAAAGTCATTACAGGCTTAATTGTGAATTGTGTCCCCTCCAAATTCATATGGTGAAGCCCTTAACTTGGAAGTATGTCAGAATGTGACTGTATTTAGAGATAAGGTCATTAGAGAAGTGATTAAGTTAAAATGAGGCCAGTAGGTGGGTGCTAATCTAGCCCACCAGTGTTCTTATAAGAAAAGGAAATTTGAGCACAGGGAGAAAAGGGATGCAAGTACACAGGAGAGAGAACACATGTGAACACAGCATGAAGGTGGCCATCTACAAGCCAAGAAGAGGGGCCAGAGAGGAGCTTGAACCTGGGCTTCCAGCCTCCAAAACCATGAGAAAGTAAATTCCTGCTCTTTGAGACTCACAGTGGGTGGTAGTTTGTTACTGCAGCCAGGCTGACAAACGTGACTAACATCTTAAATGTTATAACTGTATTTGAATCACACAAATTTGACTGAATTTGGACCCGTAGCCTTCCCTCAAGGATCAGATCTCTATATACAGGCTTTCTGCATGAGATTTCTTAATTTCCCCACCCCATCCTTCATTATCAGATGCATTTTTCCCACCCACCCCATTTTCATTGCAGGACGAGGTTCACGACTTTTCCTTATTTTAGCTGGCACTAGTCAAGTAAAAGGTAGGTGGTCAGTAAGTGCTTGCTGCCTGACTGGTCGCCTGAGGGTGCCTCTGTCTGAGCTTTCCACTTACTTGTAATGGTTCACTTCACTTCCTCTTGATTCTTGGGTTCTCAGTTTTCTCATCAGGATCCTTACAATGTTTATAAAGAAGATGAAATTGACCTGCAAAACACAAAGCAGAGTGGGGCTGAGGTGTCTTTGCTTTCCCAGCTCCCTCTCCTGGGCCTGGCCCTGGCCCTGGATTTGGTAGAGGGAAAACACTGCAGAAACCACAGCCAGGGTGGCACATCACAGCTGCCTGCTCCTATGCCCAGAGTCCTGGTGAACCAAACTGGAACCATAGCTGGAAGTGGCAGCTCTCCCACCCTCAGCAGCAGGAGCTTAAGGGTCTGCTCAGGATGACTACTCCACTTCCCTTTCATATCTTGACAAATACTGGCCTCAGATTCTGCATTTCTTTTCTTTCCTTTCCTTTCTTCTCTCTCTGAGAGAGAGAGAGAGAGAGAGAGAGAGAGAGAGAGAGAGTGTGCAAGTGAGCTTGAATTACAATCATGCCTTCAAGCTCTACTCTAACATAAAGTGTAGTTTTAAAAAGGGCAGCCCAGCATGGTGGTGCACACCTGTATCCCAGCAAGCTGAGACAGGAAGATCACAAGTTCAAGGCCAGCCTGGACTACATAGTGAGACCCCGTAAGAGAGAAAGAGAAAGAGAGAGAGAGAGAGAGCGATCATAAAATAGTCCCTCCCTCTCAAAGGATTCCAATGCAAGAGGAGGGGCTGCCTCCCTAACCTGTGCCCTTGTCCCCCAGTCACCTATGATGGAACTTTCTGTGAACTGCTTCCTCGGCCTTGGCATCAATCTGAGCCATGTGATGTTAGTTATCTCTGAGGACCTCAGAGTGTCCCTGTGCCTGTTCTCTCTCTGTCCCCTAGTCTTATCCATGTGGCCAGACAACAAGGACTCCCAACCCTGGTGGCAGAGCACATTCATTTAGGGACTTAAAAATAAGGCCCAGGCCCCAGCCCCTCTCTACAACTAAAGCCCAAATCTCAGCCTATCAGTATTTTTCAAAGCTCCCAGGTGATTGGAAAAGTCAGCCAGGACTGCAATCCTCGCCATCCTGGGGTCATTCCTACATCTATTCCCTATCAAATCCACAAGCAGCACTGCAGAATCCTAAGACCATAGTTCCACTCAGCTGTCCCCAGCCAAACTTCACCTCCCCCTGTCACCAAGGGGGACATCTCGGTAACTCATCTCAGGCTAACAAGAGAGTACCTAAAAAAATGACCAAACCCCACCGGGCTGAGCAAATGAAGGTGAGATTTGGGGGCAATGGCAGAAGCCAGTTGAGAGTGAGGAGTTGGGTTCATCAGGCTTCACCGCCTTCCTCAGAAAACAGCAAGGTTAGACACTATCACCTCCTGCTGGCACCTCTTGCCACACCCTCCCACCATTCCTGACAGGGCAGAGATTCTGGGACCACCCTCTTGGCAACCTCCAGCAGATCTGTTAGGAATCCCAGGTTCCAGGTTCTCTGGCCATGCCAGCTGGCACTGTCTCCATCAGTCCCACTGGCCCCCAGCTCCCAAGAGGATGGCCACTCACCAGGATGGAGAGGATCACAGGCCCTCGAATGACCCACCAGACTGAAGCTTTTGAGTTTATGTCCCAGCACCTATGGGGAGAGGAACAGCCAGGCATTGTTAGGAGGCAGAGCTAGGCTGACCAGCAGACACCTTTCCTGAGTTAACCCTTGCATGAAGGACCCATGTTGAGTCCCCACAGGTGTGCACCCAGTCCTGTGAGAAACTGCCCCTCTGTCCCTGCACTGAGGAGCACTGCTGGGGACAGAGTTGAGGCCACCTGCATCTGTGCATCTGTGGAAACCTCAGAGCTGGGGTCATGGGATCCCAAAGCTATCTTGCTTTCAGGATTCACTTGGGTGCACCATGCAAACTCAGCTGCCAACAGAGGCAGACATCATGAGTGAAGTGTCTGGGTGACTGACATGTGACCTCAGGATTCAGGACATCAGGCATGGAGGTGACCTTGCCAATAAGAGCCTGTTCCTGGTCCAAGGCAGTCACAGCTCTGCTCCAGCTAACTTTTGCTACAAGGCAAAACTTTCCAGTTTTGCCAGAAAGGCAGAAAATCCAGATTTCTTTTTAAATATTATCATTATTTTTTAAGAGACAGTCCTACTATGTAGCCCAGGCTCTCCTCTGCCTTCCAAGCAGTGGGGACTGCAAATTATGTGCCACCGGGACCTGTCAGATTTTTTAAAAAATGAACTAACCCAATAAAAAAATTTTGAAACTATTATTTTGAGCCAAATTTAGACTTTAGGACATGTGTGAGCCTCATCCACCCTGGCCCGCCTATTAGCCTAGCTGTGTCCTTCCACCCTGGAGAAATGGACTCCCACCATCTCGCTGCCTCACTTCTTCCCTGACTTAAAGACCTCAGCACCTCACTCCTTTAGAAAACAGGCTAGAGCTCTGGTTTGTCCCCATACCACCACACAGGGAGTTGAGAATGTCACCACTGCTCAGTTGTGTCTTGTTCTAGAGGGCATGTAAAACCCCAAGGCTAAGGAGGGGGCAGGAGTGAGATCCCAGGAGAGTGGAAAAACTGGACTGGCACTTCTCTTGCTTCCCCCAGAGCAGTACCTGCCTACACTCCTGAAGCTGCTATCTGGCACCTGACACCCAGAGCTGAACCAGTGGGCAAGGAGACCTGGACCCAGGAGATGAAGTCTGAAGATCCTTGCTGAGGAGCAATGACGATGCTCCAAAGAGCTTCCTGCTTGACCCTAACTTGAGCAACAGGTCTTCTTAGGTAGCTCCAAAGAAGTGTCTATGCTGTGTGTAGAAATGAACGATGTCCAACACAGTTCAGCCTCAGAATCCACTGGAACTGGGTTCCAGGATCCTCTGTGGATAACTAAATCCAGGATGCCCAAGACGCTTACATACAATGCAGTAGTATTTGCATAGAAGGTAGGCATGCCTTTATCTGTGAATTGATCTTTAGGTTACTTGTAATACTGGATACAATGTAAGCACCACATAAATACTTGCTACACTGTTTCATTAGGGAATAAAAACAAGAGGGAAAGTCTGTACATGCTTGGCACAGATCCATTTTGAGGGGTAGGGGTTGAGACAGGATCTCATTATGTAGTCCAGGCTAGCCTCCTGAGTGCAGAGCAATTTTTAAAAATAGCATACATTAATGGTACAAGGGGCTCATTGTGATAATTCCATAGATATGTATAGTGTACTTTGAATAAGTTCATGTTCACTCCTTCTGTTATAGTCCTTTATCCCCTTTCCTCCTCCTCAATTTTTAAAATATTGTCAATTTGAGGTTGGTTGAATTTGTAGATGCAGAACCAGTGACTATGGAGAGCCAGTTGTTGGTTTTGGAGGTACTGACAAACTTGGAGCTTGCTAGGCAAGTGCTCTACCACTTGAGCCCCTTCCCCAGCCCTGGGTCTGTGTGCTCTTGTTACCTTTCCTTCCAACAGCTTACCCAACATCTTCCAGAAAGTACCTGGTGATAGCCCATGAAATCACAAAAATGGCTGGAGAACCTGAGGGTTAAAAACAAAGGGAGGGGTCCAGAGAGAGCACTCAGTCATCAATGCCATGTGTGAAGGACAGGACAATCCTGTTACCCTAAGCCAGGTACTATGCAGGAACCAAGATTTGGTTTCCATGGAAACCCTTTTGCCATCCTGTATCAATGTGTATCTGCATGCTTCAAGGATGCTGGGAGTTCACTGGGGTCTTCTGGTGAGGCAGGATAGGGAGGTACAGGTTGGTCAAGAGGGGGTGAAGCCTGACTGGATAAAATGTCACAAAAGAACTGCTTGGGGCATGCATCAAGTCCTGCCTGGGACATGTCCCCTTCAGGAAATATCTGGTTGGAAAAGTCCTGGGAACCCCCTTTCTGTAGTGAACGCCATAGTTGTTACATCATAATGAAAGAGAATTCGCAGAGGAGAAAGTCCGGGAACTAGTGGCTGCACTGAGGGCCAGGGAACCTGTCCTTAGATGATCTTTGGTTCTATTTTTTTGGTGGGTCTAGGATTTAAACTCAGGGCTTTGTGCTTGCAAAACAGGCACTCTGTCACTTAGGCCATGACTCCAGTCATACTTCGGTTATTTTAGAGATGAGGGTCTTGCGAACTATTTGCCCAAACTGGCCTTGAACCATGATCCTCCTGATCTGTCTCCCAAGTAACTAGGATTACAGGCATGAGCCACTGACACCCAGCCTCAATTGACCTTCAGAGATACCCCTGTACTCATGCAGGTAATTAGAACTGCATGCAGTACAGGTAGGGACATGTGCAGTCACAAATAAATTATATAACATCCTCTTGTCAGTCAAGGCTGTCAATCATAGAGGGATGCCCCTCTTAAGCCCCCTTTCAGCCCTCCTCCACCCCCAGATTTGGCCATAAATTGCAATCTGAACAGAGAATTAGTGCCTTCAGTTCTTTGTTCAGACCCCTACCGTCCTATGTGGGAGTGTATTTCTGTTCACACTAAATCTATGCTTTGCTTGCTGATTGTGTGCATTTTGTCCAGTTCACCAAGAACCTGAAACACTTACAACCCAGAGGTCCCCAGGTCCCCAGGCGGTGTAACTGGGGCCAGGCCCCAGAGGACCTCTGCATAGAAGGAGAGCAGAGACAGGATTCCTGGGCAGGCTCATAGAGCCCATGGAAGCAATGGGTGGAGCCCCTTTCTGAACTAGGAGATGTCTGGCAAAGTGCATGGGGAGTGGTGGGGACCCAGCCGGCGGAAGAAGCATCGATCTGATTTAAATATTGGTTAAACACGGCAAATTGATCTTACATATTTCCCCCGAAGCCCCTCCCCACCCCCAATATGACAGTAAAGAAATAGAAATGGGAACTGGGGCTGTAGCTTAGTGGTAAGGCGCTTGCCTAACAAGTGTGAAGCCCCGGGTTCCATCCCCAACACTGGGGAAAATAATAGAAATGGTCTCAGCCCAAAAGCACAAAGACTGGGAAGGAAGGGTGGAGCTGACCAGAGATGTCAACACATTCAGGAACATTGAAAGCTGGCAGAGGGACAGCAACTGATGTCCCAGAGTGGAGAAAGCAGAAATACAAGTGCCACATGGGGTGATGCTGCTGGGAAAGTCCCCAGGTGCTGGGGAATACCAGATACCCCAGGAGATGAGAGACAGGGTGGGACTGAGTAAAGGTTGGCTTGGAAGTGTGCACCCCAGGCGGCCAGTACTACTCTCAGGAGACCAAAGAGTTCGCTGTGCATCTGCAGCTGAGTTTATTCTATAGAGGAACTCAGCAAGGAGGGCTGGCTGCAGCCCAGCAGCAGACGGGCATGGGCACAGGCTGAATGCAGGGATGAAGTGGTCTGTGCTGGCCAGTACTGTGGACACCTGCCACACGTGGCTGTCAAGCACCTGATATGTGGCTGGCCCCAGGTGAGATGTGCTGTTAGGTGCAAGATAGAGCCCAGATTTTGAAGACTAATAAAAGAAAGTAAAATATGTCCTTCACAACAAAATGATACTATTTTGGTTATATTAGGTTAAATAGAATATGTTATTTTCACGTTTCTTTTTTACTATGCTCACTATGGTTACTAACAATTTATTTATTTAAAATTTTTATTTATTAAAAAAGTTTTTAGCCAGGTGCCAGTGTCTCATGCCTGTAATCCTAGCTACTCAGGAGACAGAGATCAGGAGGGTCATGGTTCAAAGCCAGCCCAGGCAAATAGTTCATAAGACCCTATCTTGAAAAACCCATCACAAAAAAGAGCTGATGGAATGGCTCAAAGTGTAGGCCCTGAGTTCAAACCCAGTACCCCTCCCCCACAAAAAATTAGGATGTTGGGGATAGAACCCAGGGCTTCATACATGCTAGACAAGGGCTCTACCACTGAGCTACACCCCAGCTCTATTTTATTATTTTTTAAGATATGAGGTCTCACTGTGTTACTGGGGTGGTATCAAACTCCTGGGCTCAAGCATTCCTCTTGCCTCAGCCTCCAGGAGCCGGTGCTATAGATGTACCCACCTGGCCTTTAAGTTCAACATGGGGCTTACGTTCTAGTGGAATTCCTTTCTCTACACTAGATGGTAAGAACCCTGACCCTCAGGCCACTCTGCTCCCACTCTGGCTCCTTACTCCCCACCTCAGGCAGGAGATTGAAGGATTCTTTTCTGGAGGAGCTGAACAACCCCAGACAAAAGGGCCTCAAGGGAGCAATGCCAGGGAACTCCCCCCCAGCACAGTGGCTACTTCCAGGCCAGTGTCCCTTGAGAGACAAGACCCTCCCCCAGAGCCTTTAGTTGACTCCAAGTGACTCATTCTTAAATATGAACAGACCGCCAAGGTCACGGACATTTGATTACATAAAAGACTAGGAACAAAACAACCAGAGAAAAGGAACTCAGAGGAAACAGACCATGCAGGGAGCAGACAGAGGTTGGACAAAACAACTCCAGGGAATATCATCGGAGACAGAAAAGATTGTATCTACGAGATCCAGACAGGATGCTGTGAACCAGGCGCAGCCATACAGTAAGAAACAGGCATAGAGACTGAATGTCAGATAACTGAAGTTAAAACTCAGTAGATGGCTTGGAAGGTAAAGACTAGGAATCTCCTAGAGGGCAGAAAAAAGCAAACAAAAAACAGTGGAATGCAAAGTGGGAAATTAGAAAATTAGAGGATGGTTCCAGGACATGTTCTCTCTGACTAAAAGAATTTGCTGATGAGTGGGCCACCACGTGTGGGCAAAATTGATAGAAAAAGACATGCTCTGGAGCAAGCCATGGTGACATTTCAAACCCAGAGAGAGGCTGGTAGAGTGGCTCAAGTGGTAGACTACCTGCCTAGCAAACATAAAGCCCTGAGTTCAAATCTCATACCAAAAAAGAAAACGGTGTGTCCAAACCCAGAGAGAAAACTATAAATGTTTTATATTATTTATTTTTTGTGGTGCTGGGGGTTGAACCCAGGGCCCTGCACATGCTAGGCAAGTGATGTACCACTGAGCCACACCCCCGCCCTTGCATTTGATATGCAGAGAGGTTAATAGAAGGCTCGGGAATGGCATAGCATTTCTACAACCCCACATGCCAAAATACAAGGCCTTCAAAATTCTGGGGGAAAATAGTTTTTCAATCTGATGTTCTAGTCCAGGAAAATGATAAATCAGATGTGCAAGTGGAACAAAGCTATTTTCAGATACACAATGCAAAAAAATGTTCCTTCCAGGTCATCTTTGTTAGACGTGTACTGGAGGATGTGCTCCAACACAACGAGAGAGTGAAGGAAAGAGAGGGGGAGTCAAGAAATAAAAGAAACAGAATTTGTGGAGGAAAGTGAAGAGAGCTCTCCCCATGAAGGATAAGGGCCGAGCAAGTCTTGAGAACAACCATCCCCAGGCAAGCAGGGGAGAGAAAGCTCTAGAAAGAACAGCAGCAGGTATGCTGGGTAGGATAGAGTGATAACACTTATGCCATACCTCCAGCCCTTTTGGGTTTAGTTATTTTTCAGATAGGGTCTTGCATTTTCCTCCAAGGCCAGTCTTGGAACATGATCATCCTACCTATATCTCCTTCATCACTAGGATTACAGATATGAACCTTCACATACTGCTTGCTTGAGATGGGGTCTCACTAACTTTTTTTGTTCAGGCCAGCCTTGAATTATGATCCTTCAGATCTCTGCCTCCCCCAGGGGCTGGATTACAGTCATGTACCACCATGGCCAGCTAATCTCTGTTGTTTTGAGCCACCAATTTGTTATGACAGCCCTAGGAAACTAATATAGCAAGAAGCAAACTATGAAAGACATATGAAAGTTGTGAGAATCAAAATAAAGTCACTTATGTTAACCTTAACAAATAAAGAAACAAATTAAACAAAGCCAGAAGGTGATGAAGGAAGGGTTTTTATGCAGGATTGCCTGATAGTAAGCTATTGCAAAGAGTAACCACAAGCTTGCACAGAGGTCACTGCAATTGCATATAAAAAGAACTTCTAAACCAGGCATGGTAGTACATGCCTGTAATCCCAGCACTCAGATGGCTGAAGCAAGAGGAACTCAAGTTCAAGACCAGCCCAGGCTACATGTGGAGATCCATCTCAAAATAAATAAACAAACAACATAAACCTTCCCTTTGTCTCAACCTTTTTGAATATGTTCACAGTTTGCATATCCTCACTGAAAGTTCTGTCATTCCCAAATAAATATAATTATTGTATGGACAATAGCTAACTGATTTTTACATTTTAGGTTGACATAAAAAATAGGAATTGATAGATTTCCTGTTGCATTTGATGATTTAGAAAACAGTACTAGAGGGTTTTACAGAGAATTTGGGAGAATTAATGAAGGCAAAATAAAAAAATAATAACCAAATAAAAATTATTCTAGGAAAAACAAAATGTTAAAATGGAAGTAAATCATTGTATACCACTTTGCTTGGTAGTAAACAAAATTTACATAAAGATAATAATGCATTCATTGAATATGATTTAGCCCAAAATGTTAAGAATCCATAATGGAAGAATGGGGGTAGTGGTTAGAAAATTTTGTATCCTTAGCATCCACCATAAAGAGTTAACAGATCAAGAAAGAATGGTTCAAGTGGTAGAGTGCCTGCCTAGTAAGTGAGAGGCCCAGAGTTCAAATCCCAGTACTGCCAGAAAAAGAAAAAGAACAATGGAAGAAATTATGGTATGTTGTTTAAGAACAGGAGAGGGAACCTTAGGAGGAACAGCTAAAGGGCTGTCTTGGGGCTGACAGCCCCGGGGGTGGGGGTGGGGGGGAAGGGACTATTGTGCTATGCAAACCCCAGCACCCAGCACAGAGCCCATACACAGTGATGCTCAACAAATATTTGAAGAAAAAAAGGAACATTCTTACTATTTCTTGTGAACCTCTTAAAAACCCTTGTCAGAGATATTATCATAATGCATTTTTTAAGTGTTGGGGATAGAACTCAGCAACTCACACAACATCCTTACCCCTGAGCTACGTCCTCAGACCCACAATGCAATTTTGTCTCCCCACCAGAGTACAAATCCCTTGGGTGATGGAACTGTAATGTTTTTGGTAATTTCTACTTTTTGACTAATTTCTATATTTTTGTGATCTCTAAGTCCAAGACATGCTTAAAGAATGAGGAGTAAATTATGATCCTGATATTACAGATGAAGAAACTCTCCATGTTCCTATGGGTGAATCCTGGCAGGTGTGGGCTTCAGAGCTTGGCAAGTAAGGCTCCAAACTGGGTGTTTTTTTTGGCAGTCAGCAGCAATAAAGCAAGTCCCTGATTTCTCGGCCCCTGGGGCTGCTGGCCGCTGTAGACATCTGCACTGCTCTATCAGCCCCTTCTGGCTGAGGGTTCTGTGCTAATCAGACTACCAAGCTTCAGAAGCAGGAAGGTGCAGTCTGCTCTGCCAGCTCAGGCAGCCTCCCTGCTGCTCCGTGGGGAGACAGGACCCTAGCATATAATGATTTAGACAAGCAGAAAAGTCAGTGGAGAACATTCCTGTCAGGTACACTTCTTAATTAAAGGTATCAGAAAGAAACCAAATGAAGCTAATGCTGGGACCAATGACTATCACTGTAAGCCTGTGAGGCAGGCACTCACAGGAACCTGGCTCCCTGCGCAGAACCCAGTGGGTGCCTTAAATGTAGGATTAGCAAATGAGCAATGCTTGGATGGATGGATGAATGGATGGATGGGCAGATGGGCAGGTGAGGGGATGAATAGATGCAGGGATGGATGGATGGATGGATGAGTGGATGGATGGACAGGGGTATGCATGCATGCCTGGATGGATGGGTGGATGCATGGGTATGTGGGTATATGGATAGATGAGCAGATAAATGGATGTGTGGATGGGTAAGCAAATGGACAGAGAAGCGGAAGTTCGTTAACGATAGGGTAGGAGTTAAAGGGTTCTGAATATTACAGGCTTCTGTTTGAACCCTGGGTCTGCCCTTGTCTACAATGTGAGTCAAACATATGATGTCCCGTCTCTGAGCTGTGATTTCTGAGCTGAGGTCTCTGATCTGAGGTCTCTGAGGGACCTCGGGAGGTTAATGTAATGACTAAATGATCCAGGTAAAGTACTAAGCCCAGTGTCTGGCATGTACAGAGAGCTCAAGAAATAGAGTTATTTTCCTTGACCAAAAAGGAAAGGAGGGAGAGATTTCATGGGAACCTCTGCAGGTGGCTGTCTTGCTATTATTTCCTCTCTCTCTTAGAAACTGAAACCTGAATTACCTTTGGGAAGCCATGTGGTTTGAGCAGCTTACACCAATCAGCATACTCTATTCTCTCAGGAACCTGAGATTGGTTCAGGGATATGTATGAGCTATAAGAGGTCCAGTCAGAAAGTGCCTCAGAGCATAGGCTGGGAATACTGCAACATAGTTTGTCTTTGTCGTTTTGTTGCTGTTGTTTCCTTTTTTGTGGTGCTGGGGATAAAACCCAGGGCCTCATGCATTGTAGCCCAGAAGCTGCTGCTGGCAATGACATTGGGACCACCACCCTAACAATAAAGCTGATGCTATGAAAGGCTAAGGAGAGACATTGTTGAGTTGCTGGAGTCAGCTTGACATCCTGATTACAGAAAGGAAGCAAAAAAGAAGACACGAATGGACTGGCTATAAAGATGAGGCAACAAAATTGTAAAAATTGAAAAAGGCTTTGGATACCAGAAGTGGCAGATAAATTTTAGCTATTATTTTTCATTTGACAGATAAGAAAACTAAGGCCAGTGTCTAATCCATCACAAGTCAGTTAAGTGTGGAGCCAGAACTAGAAAGCAAATCCTTCTGAGTCTGAGATACAACTCAATGCTGTTTGTTACACAACACATGGGCATTACACCATGGAGAAACATACCCCATCCGAGGGCAATGAATCCTTTCAGGCACTTCCTTTCTGAGAAGAAGCTGATAACCAGAAGTGTGTGAAGGTAGAGGCCTTCCACCAGCAACCAGGCGTAGTTGGCCATGATGCAGTACTGGAAGAAGACCATGACCAGCTTACAGCCTACCTGCACAGAGAAAGGCAGGTGAGTCCAGGCTGGTGACTGTGGGCTTCCCTCTGCACCAGCCCCAAAAGAAGCAGGGGGTGTGACAGAACCAGGCTGCAGAGCTTGAGCCTTTGGGTTCAAGGCCATCTCCTAAGGCATTCCTTTGTCTGGCAAGCAGGCCCTGGTTTTGTCATTTCCCAGAGAGAGCAAGTCACGGCCAGAGGGTTCAGCCAAGGTGGCCAATGAGTCGGTGCAGGAGCAGGCACTGGGTACCAATTCTGGAACTGGCTTTTAGGCTTGGTGAGGAAGCCACTCCTTCCAGTGGAAAACTCTAAGATACTGCCCAAAGCCCTCAATTCTCTGAAGAGGAAACCACAGCCTAGAGAGGGGAGGGAGGGATTTCTGAGCCAGATTAACACAACACTTTCTAAGCTCAGTTTCCCAGGGAACATGATGAAGGGATGTGCCATCTGTTAGGAGGCAACATTGATGACAGTAAAGATGCCCCCCAACTGGCATGTTACACCTCTCCTGGAGCCTTCCAAATGCCTGGTGGGACACCATGGTATTGGGCTTCCCAATGCCTTGACAGGCAGGTCCCCTGCAGGGACCACTGGGCTATACCCATGGGATTTTGGGGCAGGAGGCTCCCATAGCAGCATGTGGGTTTCCTTTCCTGGTGGTGGTGTCCACAGGGAGAGGACAGCTCCTGGGATGGCCCCATTGCTACTGAGCTGGCTGGCTGTGGCTCCTACCTGGGGGCCTCCCAGAGGCTCTGAGTCCCAGTGTGGCCCAAGCTTGGCTCATAAGTTTGATGTTTCATAGAACCTAAGAAGATTCCTTGCTGGATGTGTTCACTGCTAGCCAGGAAGGGGAGGGGCCAGAATTGAAATCTCCTGACTCCCAGTCTGGGTCTCTTGTTCCGTCCTGGAGAGACACGGATCCTACTGAGGGACTTCTCAGTCTTTTTCTATTTTTCTTTGTGTGTGTGTGTGTATGTGTGTGTGTGTGTGTGTGTGTGTGTGTGTGTGTGTGTGTGTGTGCTACTGGTGTTTGAACATAGTGCCTACACCTTGTCCTTCTTTGTGATGGGTTTTTTTGAGATCTGGTCTTGCTAACTATTTTCCCGGTATTGACTTTGAACTGAGATCCTCCTGATCTCTGCCTCCTGAGTAACTAGGATTACAGGCATGCACCACCAGTGCCCAACTTAAGGGACCTCCCAGTCTAACTAAGAAAATGCAAATGCACCACATGTGTACACACACACACACACACACACACACACTCAAAACCAGAAGCAACACAAGCAGATGAGAGTGGTAGGGAGGTGCAGGCAGGTTGACTGAACTAATCTCAATTTCCAGTCTCTTTCCCTGCTTGCTCTGCTATAGAGACTGTCATAGTAAAAAAATCTCAAATCTCCCAGCTTCCTTTGCAGTTAGGTGTGGTCACATGACAATCCTAGTCAAGAAGTATATATAGGAGCCTCTGGGGAGGGATGAAAAAGCAAAGCCTCCCAAAAGGAAAAATATTCAAACTTTGTCCTTCCTCCTTGGCCAGAACACGGTCATGTGTCTGGAGTTGCAGCAGCCATATTGCAACCATGAGGTGTAAAGCCTGAAATCAAAGGACTGCATTATGGATGGCAGAGCAGAAAGGGAAAAAAAGGGGAACGACTATGTCCTTCATGACAACATGAAGACAGTGTGCATCTCTGGATTCCCCATCTGTGGGCTGCCTGTGTGGGAAGCAACCCTGGTTTATTGAAGCCCCAGGTGAACAGTTCTGTTATTTGCAGCAAAACAGATTCCCAAGTGCTGGACGATTGCAGTGAATTATGAGTCACATGGGCATTGGGGGATGGATTTAGCAAAATACACATTTTTCCACAAACCTGTGTGTGCCAACTGGCACCTAGGGATTGGCAGGATGGGAAGAGAGAAATCTCACAATGGATCTGACTCCCAGTGGTCACTTCCCAGCAAACTGCCTCACACATGGCCCAGGCTTTGTGTGTGCAGCGAGGCGTCTCCCAGAACTTCCAGGCCCTGCCCCAGCATTAGTGCAGCTGTGGCAGGGAGCTGGAGTGAGGGCAATTGGGGTACTGCCCTTTGCGAGTTAGGCTGGGGCACCCCGGCATGTCACCTGATGGGCATCACAGTAGGTGACGTCGTCGGAGGAGAAGAGCACAGCGTCCTTGATGAAGTTAGACAGGGCGCGCAGGATGAAGGACACGAACAGGTGCATGTGGATGTAGTTGCGGGTGCAGTGCAGCCTCCTGGCAGAGAGAACGCAGGGCCCGCCCTCAGTGCACTGGGGAAACTGAAGGTCTGGTCATCAGTCCCTCCGGGTCACACCTCTCTTTGTTAGCTGAACCTGAATAAGACCTGGGGCCCCCAGGGGCCAATTCCATTCTGACTCACACTACAGTTTGAAAAAAATAAAGAAGCTAGGGTTAATGGGCAATACATATTCTGTCCTGATCCACCATCTCCAGTCCTGTAACTGTTTCTTCCGATGCGGGATCAGAAGTCTGTTAATTGTTCCCCTTCCTCTGGTACCAGAAACAAGATTTCTGAAGTCTCTTTTTCTTTATTTTTATCTTTTGGTGGTACTGGGGCTTGAACTCAGGTCTCATGCTTGCTCGGCGGGTGCTCTACCTCTTGAGCCACTCCACTAGCGAGAAACAGGACTTTGTACTGGGAGCCTCTTCCAACATTGGGGGAGATGACTCCGCCCTTCTTGCTCTCATGACAGACCTGACCAACCAGTGTGCTCCATCCTGGCCTAAGGATTGGGCACGTGACCTAAGCTGGGTTTATGAGTGTTCCCTGGGACACTTACTGGAGCCAGCTGGGAAGAGGGTGACATGGGTCAGATCACTTTTGCTTTTCTGACGCTATTCTGAGGTGGATTTCTGTCTCTTGTGACCGAGAATCTGATCAGTACACCTGTAAAGTGGAGGTAATGGTACCTATTTCTTCATATCACGGGAAAATTAGAAATAAAATAGGTAGAGTAACTGGCCTCAAGTTCTCAGTAACGCCTAGTGAATGTTGAATGAAGGAATAAATGCAGTCATAGGAACGTCCATGCTTTGCCCCAGGCGAGCTGTAGATGGAGAGATGACAGAGCAGCCCACTGAGGCCTTCCTCTTTTCTTTTTCCCTCCTGAGCGATTAAGACAAAACCCAAAGTCTGTACCCAGGAAGGGCTGTGAGACAGAGCAGACAGTGTGTTCTCACCGGAAAGCACACAGGATGCTGAGGGCGACCAGGAGCATCACCAGGGAGGAGCTGTAGCCCACAGTGTACATGACCTTCAGCTTCAGCAGATAGGCGTGCTGCAGAGAGAGGCAGGGTCAGCCCCACCCACCCTCCTGGCTGTGGCTGGCCCTGCAGTGCCTCCATGCACAGGCAGCATGAGTGCTGGAGACCTGACTACCAGTTCATCCATAGGCCAGGGGTGCCAGTTCACAGACCCAAAACAACAGAACACCTGATGCCTGTTCAACCTTCCACCTTCTGCATAGGCCCCCACCCATCACTACAAATTCAACCCTTTACTTAAGTACCTCCAGGGACAAGGGACTCCCTGACATTCTAGGAGGTCATTTGGTGTACAACAGTATGAAATATTAAATTTTCACTCTGCCAGCCCTGTTTTTTGGTATTGTGTATTTTTGAGATAGGATCTCACAAACTATTTGCCCAGGGTTGGCTTTGAACTGCAATCCTCCTGATCTCTGCCTCCTGAGTAGCTAGGATTACGGATGTGAGCCACAGGCACCTGGCAAGGCCTATCTTATATAGAAAAGTTATGGAGATTGTGTTAGCGAGACCTGTCATTTTTGAATAAAGCTCTTCTACCCATTGTTCCTCACTTACCTTCTCAGGTCTTGTTCTCTGTGTCTTTAACCTCTACCCATAATCCTTCACCATTTAGCTCAATCAATATGCTCCCACCTGTCAATGTCCTTCTTACATCAGCTACCCAGGGCCACACAGCTGAAAACCTCCAGATGTATTCAGTGACCAGGAAGAAGTATGGGACCATCACCTCCTCAGTCTATACATTGCTCTCCTATTAATGCAGCCAAGTAGGCATTGACTTTGCTCAGCAACCACTTCACACTGTTGGCTCATCTTTGATACAAAAAGCCCAGTGGATTGGAATGCTGAGCAAAATTTAAATTGTGACATGTAGAGATTAAACACCTGGATTCAGGTTCAGAAAAATAAATTGCATAATAGTCTTAAAAAGAATCAAGGAAACAGAAATTAAGACAATGATAATATTTTGTCAGCCAAATAAACAAGTATTTAAAAGTAATAATATTCTATTCAGGTGAGGGTAGAGTGGGAGAGACTTGGTTCAATCTTTCTGGAAAGTAACATAGAAAATATATGTCAAGAACCTTTGAAATGTGCATTTCTTCTGACCTCCCTCTACTCCAACAATTAAATCTAAGAAATACAATCAGTTCTCCATATTCACTAGTTTTGCACTCTCAGATTCAACCAACCACAACCTAAAATATATTTGTTAAAAAACCAACTGGGCTCTCATGGCTCACATCTATAATCCTAGCTACTCAGGAGACAGAGATCAGGAGGATCATGGTTCAATTCCAGCCCAGACAAATAGTTTGTGAGACCCTATCTCAAAATACCCAGCACAAAAACAGGGTTGGTGGAATGACTCAAACGGTACAGCACCTGTCAAGCAAGCATGAGGTCCTGAGTTCAAACCCCAGTACCACAAAAAAAAAAAAACTACACTGAACATGTAAAGAGTATTTTCTTGTCATTATTCCCTAAACAATATAGTAAAGCAAGTACTTCCAAAGTATCCAATTGTATCAGTCATCTAGACACGATCTGAAGTATAAGGTAATTTTTCCCCATCCTCCATTCCAAATGAGTCAGCAGTATGAGCTAGTACAAAGGGTTGGGTATGAGGTAGCTGCTGAAAAAATTAGGCCTATTCTCAGTTACATTGCTGAAGTGCTGTGGCAGCTATTCGTGCTGGAATGTAGGGAGTGCTGTGTCCAGTCTGAGTGTGTTATTTTAAGAGGTGCATTAATAAACTGAACACTTCCAGAGGACAGTCATTGTGTCATCTGAGGAGAGCATGGTTTTCTCCCAGAGGGGAAAAAACAACTTAGGGGAGAAAAATATTAGAAAGATTGACATGTGGAAGAAAGGCAAAGACTTCATGTGCAAGCTCCAGTGGGGAGAAGTTACCAGGTAGTAAGTAGGTTTTGACTCACAGTAACCCCAAATTTTTTGATAGCAAGAGTTGACCATCCACATGGTAGCCTGCTGTGGTACTCTAAGCCTCCCCCTGACCTAACTGCTCTCTCAGAAGGCAAGGGCGACCTCTCAGGGATGAAGAAAAGAGCCCTGAAGTGCACTGAGTTGCCTTATATGAATGGTTCCTAGAATTTGAGACATCAAAGACATGTGAAGTGACAAAAAACTGGATACCAACATGGCATCCTGTATTTGTGCCGTGTGTAAGATAAGCCCCACAGCTGAGGGTATCAGCCTCACCCTGGGGACACCTGTGCCAGCCTTCAGGAGTCTGAGAAGGAAAAGACTGATAGTTGCCGAGTGTCCTGGTAGACTATTCTGTACCATACCATGCTGTGGTCACTGCTGCCTGGTCACCTTCATGCCAGCTCTCATGCCTTCCACCTGTCTGCAAGGTCTGACCCAGGAAGTGCCCTGCTCCCAGGAGTCCTCATGTGACCCTTTGGTCCCTCAGCTTTTAGCATCTGCAGCTGTACATGCACCACCCCCAGGGGGTCTAGGAGCCCCCTTGCTGTCTGTCTGTCTGTGCTGTGGAACCTGGCTGTGCCACCCTCTTGCTATCTCCTCTAGACCAGCTACCAGCAAGAATTCCCTATAAAAGGACAGAGAGTAATAATTTGGGCTTTGGGTGCCATACCTGTCTCTTTTGCAACTACTCAACTCTATCCTTGTCCCAAAACAGTAGTCTTCGGGTGCAAATGGCTGGGCTCTGTTCCAATAAAACTTCATTTGCAAAAGCAGGTGGTGGGTGGATTTGGTCCAAGGACTGTAGCTTGGCACTCCCTGCTCTAGGTAAGCAGACAGCTTAGTGCCTCTATGCCTGGTCTTTCCATCCACCTGAGTTGACAAACTGGTGTTTGTCAATACTCTAGTGACTTGTAAGAACTTTGAAAAAATAAAACCCACTTAATGCATGTCTTCACAATCAGTTGATAAAAGCAAGACACTTTACCAATAAGAAATAGGATATTTCAAATCCCAGAGGAGGAGCACAGCTGTGGACCAGCATTTAGTCACCAGTGAATCATGAGATCTAGAAACCCAGTCTTCCCGAGATTTTTTTTTCCCTTGAGAAGGGTCCCCTCACTATGTTGCTCAGACAGGCAGAAATCTCAAAACACTCCAGCCTTAGCCTCCCGAGTAGCGAGCACCATAGGTGCACGCCAATTTAACTATTTTTTTAATTTTTAAAAAATGTGAGCTGAAGCCAGGCTACGTTTTCTTCCCACCATTCTTGGATAATTAATCTTCTGAGTTAAGCTCACAATTTTGGCATTTACCTTTGCTAAGTCTCAGCTTCTTCGTTTTGGATTTGGGTTTTAATCCTGCTGTGAACACTACAGGTAAGGCCCTGGGTTCGGTTCTTCCCAGCTGACTAGTCTAAACCACACAGTTCTCAATGTGTGGTTTTTGATGTAAATTACAAAAACTAATCTCCTTTTTCTTTTCTGTCTTTTGTAATCCTTAAAGGTGTCAAGGGATCCCAAGCCCAAAAGGTTTGAGAGCTACTGTCTAAGCTAATCATGAATTTCATTCCTCTGCCAATGGTTGATGAGCTCAGGGGTGGGCAGTCCTAAGTCACTTTGGGCCAGTGAGATGTGAATTCAGGCTTGCTGGGTTTAGGGAAAAGCAGCTTTCTAGCTCTCAGAAAGGAACCACAGGAATCCAGACTGTCCCTCCTGAGCAAGCAGGAAGGGGGAGGTCTGCAGCTGTCATTGCTGGCACCTCAGGAAGATGCCGCCATGGTGGCAGGAAGAGAGCTGGAAGTAACCTGGCCCTTGGCGCTTTGTACTGCTTCATTCAGTACATTCTCTGCATTCTCCCGAGGCCCATTCTCTGCATTCCGTGAGATATGAGCCTCGTTCGCTTATTAAAGCAATTAGAAATTTGTTACTTGTAGCCCAAAGCACTCTTTAACCCTCCATCCTGCCACCCATCATAAGAATATGCCTTCTTTAGTTTATTGAATTTCACAAATCTGATACTTATAAGTGCCTGGGTCTTCACATAAGCCAGTGACAAAAAGGGTCATCTACAGAGAACAGAGCATACTAGCCACGCTCCCAGGACCAAAAGTGCCCACTGATAAATCTTTGATGAATTTCACCCTTAATTTGCCTCACTCTGGCCAGATTTGAAAGCCTTGTGGATTTTCCCCAACAAGCTCTTGAAAGAAAGAAACTCCATTCCTGCCTTGACCCCCTGCCCGCCCTCCTTCAAATGGAACCAGATGGATTGACCATGGAGAGAGGGGTGCTAGAAAAAATTAGGAAGGCTGGGTGGTCTGCCAGCCAACTTCACCTTTTTCTCCCTTACTCCTGCCACTCCCCACTCCATGCTTCTCTGACATGTCCCCAGCCCACCCTCCAAGGGACAAGCAATCTTGTCCACCCATGTTCCTGCCTGGGATTCTAGCTAATGGTGCTACTTAAAAGTGCACCTCCTAAGGGTCAGGGAGGTGGCAAAAGACAGAGGACTGAGCTATCTGAGGCTATCCTATCCAGGGCTAACTTTGGTTCAAATCCTGTCTACTACTTCATAATCGTGTTCCTTAGCCCCTCTGAGCCTCAGTTTCCTTGTCTGCAACATGGAATTTTGCAATGAACAAATGAACTTTTATTCAGTGAAGCCATGTCCTTGCAGGGTTATTTTGAGGATTTAATGTACATCAAGCAGCTTGGAACAACAAACTTGGGGGGAGGTAGGGAATTAAACTCAGGAACTTATACATAACAACAAACATTTATCAAGCATGTGAGAAGTAAATAAAACTCTCCAATTTGTCACTGCAGGAGCCCTGCACCTAGACAAATGCCTGGCCTATACTAGGTGCTCAGTAAATGTTTGTTGGATGAGTGAACACTTTAAAGAGCTCACATTGAAGTAAGAGAGGTGGAGTCACATGGCACACGATGGTCATTTGAACATGACATGGCAGGTAATAGGAAAATCAGAGAGGGCTGGAGTTGACCTAAGTGGGGTCTTGAAGGATGTATAAGAATCTGTCAGAAAAAGAGAGGACAAAAGTGCTGTCTAGGCAGGAGGCCCCCTGTTAAGGGAAAAGGCCCAGGTGAGAGGCAAGGTGGCAGAGTATGAGTGAACTCTAGAAAAGGGCTGTTCTGGGAAGGGGCAGTAACTCAGAATGAACCCAGCTGGAGCTGGACCTTGACAGTCACCCTCACAGGGAGCATTTGGAGGTCTGCCCGCCCTCAGTTCCTAGTGAACTTCCTCTCTTAGACTAAGCCTGCCCTGCGGCTGCTCTCTCCTTCCTTATCAGAGACAGGAAACTGTCTTGAGGACAAACTTATAGAGCATTTCCTATGGCCAGGCACACATCTTGGCACATCCACGCATCAACTTGTTCAGTTCTCCTAACCAGCCTCTGTGGTCAGAACTCTTATTAACCTCATTTCCATGACAAATAAACTGAGGCATAGAGCATAGTCCTTCCCAGACCTGCTGAGGTCAAGGTGGGGCTTCAGACTCACTGACCTGGCTCTGAGCATTTCCTTTCTTTCGGTTTAGTGAATAAAACACCCCCGGTCTCATGGTGACACTTGGCAATGCTCAGGGTCCTCCTGACCTTCACCTCCAAGTTGATAGATCAGGCTAGAAGAGCAGGCCAGTGAGCCCCAGGTGAGCAGGGGAAGTGGGTGCCGACAGCAGCCCAGGTCCTGAGTCCTGGCCTATGCTGGCTTCTTCTGTCCTCTCTGAGGCCTCCCACCCCGCAGCCCCCCACCCAGAGTTGAGGGGTAGAGGGTGACAGACTTACCCGCTTCTCATTGGAAGAGTCATTCACGTTGATCCCACAGGCCAGGTCAGGCCTGGGGAAGGTTTCTGACCAGCCGTCCTGTGTGCAGTTTCGGAACAGGGACCCTGTGGGTACTAATGTCCTGTGGTGAGCAACAGGGGCCAGGCGCGGGTATTTTTACAGTAAAATCTACAGTAACATGTAAATATTGCAACCATTTTACGGGAGGGAAAACTGAGGCACAGTGGTTACACAACTTGCCCAGGATCCCAGCCTAGGAATTGAAGAAAGGGAATTAGACGCCAGGGCCCACGCTCTTCCCCAAAGGCCATGTACTAGTGTAGTCCCTTTCTTACTCCTCCCGCTGCTTTGCCCAAACCCTGGTCCTGCCACCATGTACCAGGAAGGTCCCCAGAACTTCTGGAGCACCACTCCTATGATCAACTCTTCTCAGGCTCCTGTGGTCACAATGCTGTTCCAGGGAAGTTCTCTTTTATACCCAACCTCTTGCCCCATTCACCCATCTTTGGAATCCATCAGAGATCAGCCCCTACCAGACAGCTGCCCCTCAGGGAGGAATGGAATTATGCATCCTTTGGCCATGACAAGGAGTCCTGCAACTGTTTGCCCTCCATCCCTGGCACAAGACTGCAGATTGACCTCTCTCCCCAGGCAGTGCTTTCTTCGGCCCCTAGCACCTGAGCCAGGGTATTCATGCCAACTGGCTGGACAGAAAATCAATGAATAGGGTTGATGAGCCTGTGCTGAGCATCTCTGATGGAAGAGAGGGGAGAGTTTCCCACTGCAGCTCTCTCTCTCTCTCTCTCTCTCTCTCTCCCCCCCCTCTCTCTTTCTCTTGCTGGGGATCTCACCCAAGGCCAGCACATGCTAGGCACACATTCTACCACTGATCTACACCCCCACCCCCAATGGAGCTTTCAAAGCCAAAGACACGGAAGGGAGCCACCAGGCAGGAAGGGAAGCTTGCAGGCTGGGGAGAAGTGGCTCTCCCTGCACCAAATGGCTCACTGTGTTCACGCACTGGGCTCCTCAGCTCTGGCCAGTATGCCATCCATGGTGGGGTGAAGGCACAATCACCGAGTCTTGTAGATGAAAGCCCTATTTAGGGGTCCCTTAATCGTCCCAGGTGGACTTGGAATGCTCCCTTCCCATGGGCCCCAGGGGTAGGCCACTGCTCACAGTATTCAGGGTCAGACAGGTTTCCCTGAGCTGGGGAGGTATAGCTGGCAAGCTTTTCTAGAAATAGCCACTGTGTTCAGCATTTTGTGCTAGGGATTCTGATCCCAGTGAGGAAGGTGCTGTCTACTTTACAGACCAGAAAACCGAGCCCCAGGTTTGGGCTACAGAGCCCAGCCATGATGCCTACCACCGTGGTCACCCTTCCTCCTGGCCCTCTCCCTATGGTCCCTGGAGTGGCTTCCAGCCCTAGGGGTCATGTCCTTTGGGATCTGGACGTGCCTAGGCTATGAAGGCTGGGGATGCATGGAACACAGGCCTATAAGCAGCCATATCTGCTGAATTTGCAGCCCAATGCTGCCTTTTGGGGGCTGTGCAACCTCAGGTATGTCACCTTTCTGTGCCACATGGGAGTAATGACCATCACAGTAAGAGTGAGCAGGACATAGGTTAGCACACGGAGACTGTCCATGTCTTACTGATGCAGAACAGAGCAGCCCTGCAATGCTACTTCCTTCTCCCCTTGGCTTTTCCAAAAAAGAGAGGAGTGGGCAGAGTCTGGGATTCAGGGGAGAGGATGTGGGAAGCCATTAGAATTAAATCAAGGTAGCTAGATTGGTGGATGGGAAAGAATGGTGGTTAAATTTGGGTTGGTTGATGGGAACACAAACTTCCTGGAGCCTAAAGCCAAAGGTTATCAGACAGTGCATGCCTAGTGGCAGGTTCCACATGGGCCCAGCACAGCACAGCTGGCCTACCTGTCTGGGGCCCCATCTCATGGACCCAGCAGCATTCCCAAGAGATCTGCATGTGATTCAGGCCTGATGCCCAGAGCTGCCAAGAAGGCAGAGACCCTGCTGAGGGAGCCACAGGCAGGACTGCAAAGGATGGGGTCGCATGATCTCTGGGGTTCCTTCAACTCCAATTGCTTCCCCAAGTACCATTTCTAATAGGTTAGGGGTCCTTAACTAGGTACAGGTCAGCGTCTACCTGTGGGGTGTCCTGAAAGCACAGTGAGTGCGTTTGTACATATACACATATGCAATTCAGGGAGGAACCGAAACAAAGCTTTCATAGGATTATCAAGTCTCCCAGACCCTATCCAGGCTAGGAACTGCTACTGCTATATGGACGACCCCTACTAAGCCAAAGGAGAAAGAGGGCCCAAGCCTGACCCTGCCCAGAAATGCATAGTTTAATAAGGAGCTCTGAAAGACCAGTGCCCTTTTAAGAATCAAAGGAATGCCTCCTGGAGGGAACATTCTGGGCCTAGCACAAGAACTATCTGGGGCAGAGTGCAGCTGGTAGTCTCTCAGTCACACCGAAGCCCGTCCTCCCCAGCCCCATGTGGTGGGTGCCCCGAGAAAGAATTTATTTATTCATGAATTCTAGAATTTCTTTTTCTTTGTCTTTCCTAGGCACTTCTCCAGGGGTTGGAATTGGGGTGGGCCATCATTGGGGGTGCCGTCCCTTCCTGGAGGGAGATAAGGGCAGGGTTCTAATCAGACCCAGAGGTAGAGCTACTGGGTGGGGAAGGTTCTTGGTGACAGGTTGAGGCCGGACAGACCTGGACCCATGCTTTTGGGCCAGTCAGCACCCAGAAGCCTGGTATTAAAAGGGTGGCACCAGGTGAACGGATTCTCCCAATCACCCCAGGAGCTGGGCCCAGTGTCCAGTAGGCAGGCCTCAGTGTGGACCTGCATCCCCACAGCGACACCATGTGGTATTGACATGAAACTGCAGTAAAGGTAGGCATAGGGACCCCAGCTTCCATTTTCAAAGCAGAAGACAAGAAGCAGACCCTCTGAAGGATACCCAGTGGGTATCAAGAAATTCAAGGGTGGAAGACTCAATTGAGGGGCAGTGGACTTCGAGTTAGTGAGGTGAGCAGGAGTTTAATTAGTTAACTGGGGAGGGATGTGACAGGTTTGGCACTTGGTCACTCCTATGGCCGCGGGCATCGACTCTGCCTGGCCGCTCTGCAGAAACGCAGGAGGGGGAGAGGAAGAAAGATGTGGAATGATAGTTCTGAGAAGGCCTTGAAAGGAGGCCTGGGAAGGAGGCGTTCCAATCCTTTCCAACAGGAGAAAAATCCAGACAGCCATGGTGGTGCACTGGACAGGAGTTGGAGACCAGGGTCTGGAGCGAAAGGCCATGAACCTGTGTTTCCTCCTCTCAGGGACACCCTGACCATGGGGCCAGAGACCTGCCTTGACCATGACCTCAAGAACGGGGCATCAGTTTTAAAGTTAGAAATTGGGCTTGATTCTTAGTTTCTCCATCTGTTGCTATGAACTTTAGGACAAACTGCCAAACCTCTCTCAGTCACTATTATTGCTATTATGTTTGTTTGTTTTTGAGATAGGGTCTCACTATGTAGCCCAGGCTGGCCTGGAACTCACCATCCTCCTGCTTCAGAGTACTGAGTGCTGGAATTATAGGCATGCAACAATACACCCAACTATTGCTATTACTCTTTACTGAGTCAAGTGGTTTACTGGGTCAGAAGGAAAAGTATGTGACCTGCAGGAGTTTCATGGTGACTGAATGAGCCCATGTGCATGAAGGTGCCTAGCAAGAGTCAGTCAATTAAGAAAATTCTCACAAATTTTAGCCGTCCTGAGATAAGGGATCCCTGGGAGGCCAGGACTCCCAGGGAGACCACAGTTAACCAGAAGGGCCTGGAAGAATGGGCAAAGGAAATGAGTGCTCTGGGAGGCAGGCTGTTTGGGAGCCTGGGACTGCCAGGGTAGGGCCACGCATGGTGGCTGGAGCAAGTTCTGCTGCTGAGAGGGCGGAAACGTGGAAGGGGAAGGGAAGCCCCTAAGTGGGGGGGCATGGGGCAGAAGAAGTAAGGCCAGTCTTCTTTATCACCTTCCCCGGACATTGCCCCCACCCCCTTCCATGGGACCCTGAGAATTAAGCCCAAGCAAGACTTCCAGTCCCCAACAGGGATCCCCCCCCCCATCATTTTACCCAGTGTTTGTCCCCAGAGACATTTCCCAGTCTCCTGCCTCTGGGCCGAGTCTCCACCCAGGGCCCACCCACATCCCCTCGCCATGCCCCTTGGCGGGGTGGTTACCGTTTCTGCTCGTGAGCATCTGGAGGAACTTTGGGCACTCCACTTCCACAGTCTGTCCTGGTGCAGAGGGGGGCCAGCAGCTCATGTTGTCCCATAGCGCCTCACAGCCTGTGGGGAAGAGCCACAGCACCAGGCTTGATGGAGCAGAGGACAAGGGCCACAGGCCACAGCATCTGCAACCTTTCCCCGTCCCCCCTTGCCTTTCTGGAGTCCTCATGGGACACTTTCAAGTTCCCAGTAGGCACTGACTCCTTGGACTCAACCTTTGTTTGTTTGTTATGGTGCTGGGGACAGAACCCTAGTGCATGCTAGGCAAGTAATCTGTCACTGAATTATGTCCCCAGTCCCTGACTCTTTGAGATGAGGAGCCAGTGGTGTCTAATGAATGCTTTTTTTTTTGTAATCTTCAGGGCCTGGGACTCTGCCACTTGTGTAAGTGCTTAGAGTTGAGACATACGGAAGACAGGATGACATCTACTTATGTGTGCAGGTCTGGATTGCTCAGGACCAACAGAAGCCTCTACTTGTGTTAAATGACTTGACAGCAGCGGGCCTTCCTCCTGACTGCACCCACCATGGGAGCACCACTCCTGGGGAGCCCCAAAAGTGTACTCAACCAGGCCCTGCACCCAGAGATTCCCGTGGAATTAGCCTGAGTGGGCCCAAGCCGGTATCATGCCAAGCTTTCCAGGTAATTCTAAAATGTTGGCAGGATTAAGAACTCTTGTGCCATCATTCTGAACTTCAGGATTGCCTGGAGGGATTGTTCAAACAGCTTGCTCAGGAGGTCTGGAGTAGGGCTTGGGGCGGGGCATTTCTCAGGTTCTCAGCTGAGGCTGCTCATGCAACAGCTGTAGAACGGTGCTTAAAAGCTGCTTGTGCTGAAAACCGCTGCCTCCTTACTTGGGCCTCCAAATTAACTAAAAACAGGAGAAAAACTTGGCACCACTGTGTCCATTTTGTCTTTGCTCTGAGCTATTCTCTGCTCTGCAGTCACTTTGCAGTCACCTTAAGAGTCCAGGAAGTACAGGACTGATTGATTTACAGCAAGAGATGGAGGAAACTGCTCCCAAGGAAAGGAATAAGCAGAGCCTCCACAAAACCGATCACCTGACCTGCAGGTGTAACAAGGCCCCACCTGACCGCTCCTGAGACAATGAGCTGACAGAACACCCCTTGCCACCTGAACACACCTGTGACTGGACTGTTTAATAATTACACATAACTCTCCCCTTCCTCCTGTTTAAACCTAAAGTAAATGTCTGTTTGGGGAAGATGGATTGAAATGCTATGTTTCCTCTTCCTTAGGCTGCTCATGACTTATAATTACCCTCCTTTCTCTGCCTTTCACCATTATTCATCTTTTGTATTTGGTGTCCTGGGGCAGGTGGCCAGACCTGACCTTTGAAACCCAGGAGTTTGGGCCTGGGGCATAAAATAACCTGCTGCTGATTTGGGATATTTTGGGAACCACTTCCTCGGCTGCTACTCCAGTCACCACTGCCCTTGTAGTAATGATACTGTTAAGGACATTGTCCCCTTCGAAGACCCCTCCCTGAAGGAGAACCTGGTCTCAATGCAGTGGGGAGCTAGTAGGTATCTGTCCTTATGCATACAGAGTCTTGAGGTTGATTTCCTCTTTTATTTAGCTTCTAGGAAGCTCATAGACCAATTTGTGGATCACTTCTTGTAACTGAAAGACTTCTGAAATAAATAAAAAACATTACTGGGTGTCTTCAGTGCAGAACCAGGCGTTGTCCAAAACATACAAATGATTACTGTCTAGTTGAATACAACCGATTTCACTCCCCTCCCCTTGTAGGCAGCCAGTGTTGCATTCACTCATAAATGCATTATATGTATAGTACTTTGAATTCTCCTATGAACTAGAGGCGATATCTTACGGATTCCCTCACAAATTAAATAAAAGGTTGAGGAGGTGTTCATTCTATGTTTGTAATATATCAGTTCACATAATCACTCACTAATTTTCCTGAAGTTGATCTCAGAGGGTGGAGCCCAGGGATATTGCTTCCTGTGACAGGGCTCTGGGGACCCATGCCATCTGGGAGAACATCACCAGAGGGGCCCATGATGTCAACCCTCATCCACTTTGGAGGACATAGCACAGACCACCCCACCCTAGAGCCATTCAGAAAGAGCTGGGCTCTGGAAGTCTAGCAAAGCTGGGTCCCGGCCCTGCCTATCCCACTTCTCTCCTGAAGTGGTTGGGAGAATTAGCTCAAAGCCCACAGGTACACCTGCACACAGCAGATGGAAGGCAATGTCAGCCCTTCACAAGCTTCACTTTTCATCCTGGCACCTGAGGGGCGGGCAGCCTGGGTCCTGTGGACTATAATTTTGGATCTGGGGACTGGGGATGTATGTTATCTTCCAGGGCCCTCCGTGTACTGAAAGGGCAAATTCCCCACTTTAAAAAGAGCAAAAGTCTTCAGATGTCAATCCCACCAGGTTCAAGGTATCAATATCCTCCATGACACCTTCACCCCCTCTAAGTGCAGTCTCCCTGGTGACCTGCTCCTCTGCAGGGCTCAGCCAGGAGCTCAGCCAGGAGCATGTCCCACCTGCATATCTCCAGACCTCATGCCAAGAGATGCTAATTCAGCCGATCGGAGGCCAGACCCAGAAACCTGCACCCTCAGAACTTTCCAGAGATGCTGCTGTATGTGGTCATCGGGTTTTGCTTGGAGAATCCATGCTGCATCTTCCTTTTCCCCATATCTAGAGGCCCAGACCTACCCCTGGCTCCCAGCAGACAGTGACATAAATAGTCACGGACAGGACACTGCAAGGAGGTCAGAGAAGTTCATCGGCAGTTTCTGCTCCCCACCAGGCAGAGCTTCCTTGGGTACGAACCTATCTGACTGTGTATGGCTGGAGCAACCGTTCCTATAGTGAGCCTGGCACAAAGAAGGTGCTCAGCACACACAGCAAATGAGCAAATGAATGGACCAAGGCCAGTGTCTATGGCTCGCACACCAGTTCCCATGATACATCCCTTGTAAAGGAGGCTGTCACTTGGGTGCCCATGTTAACTTCTCAGCTCCATGTCCAGATCCTGGCCTTCTGGTCCTCCATCTGCCAACTCTGGCTTGGTACTAATGAGAGGATCCCAAGGCACCTGCTCAACCTGTTTTATAAATGAAGTCATGAAGCAGAGGGAGAAGTAGCTTACAGGTTCACAGCCAGGAAATGCAGGAGGTGGGCGTGTCCACTCAGCCCACTGCTTGGGGCCACCTCTCAGCCTCCCTGTTCCTGGACTGTAGCAGCCAGGCTAGGGGAGCCAGGGAGAGGAGGCAATGGGGTGGGCAAGCAGGGGTGGAGGGCGCTGGGGAGGTAGGAAGCTAAGGCAGGTGCCAAGTGTTTTTGCCCTGGAAGTAGTACCAGCCCTGAGGGAAAGGACATGGGAGGTCCAGGGAGGAGCACAGGCTGAGCTCAGAAGGCCTGAGAAGGGGTTTGGATATGGAGGTGGAGGATAAGGGCAGGCTGTGGCCCAGGGCCAGGGTGGTGGGGTCCGGAGAAATGGAGACTCCAGGATGGAGAGGGCAGGGTTTGGATGGGCCTCCCACAAGGCCAGTGAAATGTCACAACAAGCCCGGGGCAGGAGGAGCCTGAGTTGCTCTATTTTGGGCCTAAGAGTGCCTGGGAGGGACTCCCCCGGCCTAAGCAGGGTCTCTTGGAGCACACCAGACCCTTGGGTGCCTCTGAGCCTCCCCAGATATCCTGGGGCTGTGAATTGGCCCTGGGAGGCCCCTTTTTCTGCCTCTCTCCACTTTGAGCTATTCAGCATTTGAACTCCCAAGAGTCGCTGTGACATCTTTCCTTATGCAGACATCCTTGTGTGGCTGCAGGATGCTGTGTTGACTAGGCAGCTCCCATCCTGCCCACTAGGTGGCGTCTCCAGAGCAAGTAGGCATTTTCAGAGTGTGGGACAATGCACAGCCATTACCTCACTGAGGAGAGAGGGACTCAGGACCAGTGAGGCTCACTGGGCTGCCTGGGTGCTGGTGGAAGGCTCCAGTCCATGCAGCTGATGACCTGTGCCTGGCTGACTAGACAGACAGAGGGGCCAGGACATCTGAGGGCCTTTCTGAGCTGTGTCATGCCAGGCAAGGCCCACAGGACACCCAGCTTGGGGCTGGCAAAGGGCAGGCAGGAGGGTCTGGGCCATGTGGGGACCTCTGCCAGCTGGATCACTGCCACACCTTTCATGTCAGCTGTGCATAGAAAAAAGGCACTGGGACAGGGGAGAGAACATGCCAGGCCTGTGCTGGACACACTTCAGACATTCTGGAACTGAATGTTACAGCAGTCCAGGGATCAGGTAGTGCCACTGTCTCATGGTAGAGGAGGACCCCAATGACAAGTGCAGGGGGTCAGAGTTAAGTCCTTATGGAGTTAGGACCCCACCCAGCCTTCCTATCTCGCCTGCTCAGGGAAGGTCCCACCTGGCAGGCTGCCTCCTAGCCATAGCAGACCTGGCTGCTAACCCCACAAGGAACTGCTCATTTCCTGGGTGCTGGCAACAGAGTCTCATAGTCTCTCTCCCAACCTCGCTTCACTGCCTGGGCACAGAAAGCTCAGAGCAAACCCAGGGGTGCCCAGTGTGTGATGGACACGAGGGGTATGGGCTTTTGGGTAGCACATGTCTGAACATTTTTAGTTTAATAGTTGCATGGTTCTTTAGAGAATTTAATACACATTTAGAAAAATGATAAGGCTAGCACATTGCATTTGTGATTTTATAGCTACTATTGTGTAGGATGAGGCTAAATTTAAAACATCCATTGAAGCAGGACACCTGTGACTCACATCTGTAATCTTTCAGATGGCAGAGATCCTGGGGTGGCAAAGCTGTTTAAAATCACACCACAGGCGACACAGTTAAGGGCCAGGGGTGTTTATCTTTAAACCAAGAAGCATAGGCAGTTGGGTGGAATGCACAGTCTTGGGAGCATGGACCCTGCTCAAGTGGAGAGTCATGGAGCTAGTGCTGGGCACTGAATGGAGGCTGTCTAAAAAGATGAAAGATCCACCCAGCCCTGAGGCTGAGCGGTTGCTTTTGTGACAGACTGCATCTGCTCCTG